TGTTGAAGTCCCGTTATAAATCCTGTTAACCTTAATGATTCTCTAATAAAACTATCTAATTTCTTCATATTATTAAGAGCTTCAAAAGGAAGTATGCCATTCTCATCCGCTTCTTTATGAACTTCTAATTGTTCCTCATATAATTCTTGCATATATTCAGGTCGAGATGCTAAATCAATAACAACATTCGCACAGGTTCTCGATGTTGTATGAATTGATACAAAAATGAATGCGCCTAACTTATCTGCTATAAATGGATAATCAACATTATTAGGATCAAAATCATCTTCTTCCATAGTATCTTGAAGAAAATCATCAGGCCGTTTCCAAGATTCACCATATTTTTCTTTATCTTGTAAACGTTTGCAAATTTGTTTCTTAAGATGTTTAATTAATATATTTTGGTGTTTAGCTGCCGGATTATACAATCCTAATCTTATAATAATACGATTGATATAATTTTGAAGTCCTGGATAAATAAAATCGAGGATTGGTGGGATCATTAAAAATATTGCTGAATCACTTGTAAATTCTGCAAATGTAGTTATTATTTCCTCATATTGTGACACCTCCTATAAAATGAAAAAAAAAATAAATAAAATTTTTAATTTTTTTTTTTTTCTTTAAATACATAAATAAAAAATAAATTAACTTAATTATGTATACTTACTTCACCAACAAAAATATTTGCAATAGGGGTAGAAATAATTTTAGTCATCAATTTATATATATTATAAATAACTTTCGGTTCATCACATTCGCCAATTTGTTTTTGGGTAGCTGAATAAAGACTATTTTGCATACGTTCATTATAAAATTTCATTTTATTTAAGATATATTCTTTAAGTACTTTTGATGCATTTGTAAACCTTTCTAAGGTTTTAAGCATTACATCTCCTGGAAATATTCTTTCAAATGCTTCTGAAAAATCAAACACATCATCTCTTGATAATACTTCTTGCGAATGTTCTTTTCCTATGAGTTAGTAGTAAAGTAATTAAAATGAATTTATAGATTAGGACATTTAAAATATTTTATATTTATTGAAAAAAAAAAATATGTAACTTACCAACAATTATTCTCACTTGACCCCATATATAAAGACAAAAGATATCTCCGTACTAAAAATACGATAATTGATAGAAATTAAAAGTTTATTTATTTGACGCTAAAAAAAATTCATGAATTTACAAACCTCTTTTCTACATTGTTTAAGGAATTCTTCGGTATTATACAAATAACTATAAGTATGACCAATAATCGGAATTTTATAACGAACGAGTGGCGGCATATTCTAAGAAAATAAAATAAAATTAAAAAATTTGAGATAGTAGGCCATTAGAAATTTTTATCTTACCAATTTTGGTTCACGCATACGCTTTAGAACGTAAAGCGTTATTATTAGAATGAATCCTAAGATAATAGCTTGATACATTCTTTTTTTTTTGAAATTTGATTATTTTTATCGGTTATTTAAAATATTTTAAAGAAGTATGCTCTTTAAAGAAAAAAAATGAATGCCTTCGCCTTTTATAAAAATTATTTATTAATGAGATAAAAAAGAATATTCCAAAGAAGTTTCTCGTGCATTGTTTATGCAAGAATAAATTATAAACTGAAACAAATTTACGTCATTTATTGTCATAGAATACTAAGAGAAAATCATTTATGCCAAAAATGGAAATCACAGGTCGTGACCGATTATTTACTATTTGTAACACACCGAAAATTAAATCATGTGATTATACATAATCTATAATAGTCATGGTACTTATCGCTGAAATTGATTAATTAACCAATATATAACGTACCACAAGCACATATTTAATTTCCTATTTAATAAATGTTACTGATGAAATGATTGTATATATAAATTGTACCATAATACTAATCTAAAGATTTGGTTTGTGTATAATTAAATTTTATTTTAATTTGGTAATAAATTTACCTACGTATAACAATAACCTCCTTAGTTTAATAAATCAGACATGTGATCAATTTTCTAAAAAAAATTTTTATAGCGTAAAGTTAAAGTTAATAGATACATGTCAATTTATTTATAAAAATAACTAATAATATGTAATACATCATGATGGAAAGTTGTATTTTAATTTATTAATGTCGTAATTCCTTACCTAATTCTTGGCGATTTTTTTCTACCTCCTTTTAATTTCTTTTGCCTCTTGTACTTCTTGCTTTAACTCCTCTTTGGCTAAAACTTTTTCCAGTGAATATGGAAAAATCTATTCAATTCTAATTTACAAATCCGGGTTATGTTTGGTTATGACTTATGAGAAAGCAAGCCTTTAAATTACTCGAATACTCAAAATAACTACCAAAATATATAATGTCTTATAACTACCAGAATTATTAAATAATCTGGGAAGTGTAGCGTTATAATTAATGAAAGAATTAATAGTTTTGAAAGTAATTGGAAAGTTTAAGCATAATATCACGTGTAATATATTAATGAAGCTTAAAAAGTCGATCACTTCAATTGAAATTCTGTACACGTAATCAACACAATCATGGTTAATAGTTTCCCATTAATATTTGTTTTTTTTTAAAAAAAAAAAAAATTTTTATGCGTAAACAAATTCATCTAAGTAGATTATTTTGGCATAAAAGATTTAACATTTAAAATACATAAATGATAATTGATAATTATGTAATAAATTCCCTTTTTCTAAGACACAACGTTGAATTAAAATGTGGCGCAGTACCAGACAATCGGATAAAATTTTCAAAATTATAAATTAACTTTAATATAAAATAAAGCAATACCTACTATAAAAGGCTAAAATAAAATTCACATAATAATAACACTTACTATAAAAGGTTAAATAAAATTCATAAAACAATGACTAGAATTTATTCATTGTTTCCGATTCGTGTAGTAACATTAATGAAATTCATTTTAGGATTCATTTTAAAAAAAAATAATGCTCATGGCAATAGAAATATTTAAAACATTTAACTGCCTAAAAAAAGCTTTAAAAAGACAATTTTCTCACATTTTTATCACTTATTTTTAATGACTAAAAGAATTAATAAAACATGTTATAATTTTATCTTACATTGATGAGCTTTTTTATTTATTCCTTTTTTATTCTTTACATATATATTATTAGGAATTGTATGAGTTAGGTCGTGACCCACCGTCATCTTTTAGTGCTGGATGATTTTTTCCATTGGCAAGCGCCCGTGAGTAATAATTTATCACTTTTAATCTTCATGTGTAAAGACTATAATAACTTTCGCTTGAATATTACGTTATAATTTGGATTAATACTCTGGAGCAGTGATGTGCTCTTGGAAGATTGGAAGCACTATTGGAAGCAACTTTGAAAAAATTGGAAGCATAATTTTCTAATAAAACCATTTGGATTGGACAACCAGATTTTTATGTTATTGGAAGTATCACTGCTCTAGAGGTATACTTTATCTTGATATTCGTCTTGCAAGTGATTATCCATTCAAACCACCAAAGGTATACTTTTGCTTGTATAGTTATTTAATTGCATGATTACGCACTAAATTTGTTATATATACAGGTGAAGTTTACAACAAGAATCTATCATCCGAATATTACTGATAGTGGAAGTATAGATAGACGTGGATTTCTTAAGGGACCAATGGTCACCAGCAATTACTATCTCTAGGGTAATAATTATTTATTATGAATATGTGAAATTTTTATTATATAAAAAAAAATATTAATAAAATCTTTTATCCTATCAAGTACTCTCGGAATTGTTGAGATATCCAAACCTAGGTATTTATAATTCAATTTTTCATATTCATTATTTTATGATTAATTTAACTGAAAATTATTTATAAATAAATAGAATGTGATTTAATGCCCGAAATATCTCAAATCTCAATTGTACAAGACTGATCGTAATCGTTATAAAGATACTGTTAGGGAATCACTCGTAAATATGCTAGTAAGACATTATAAGATTTTTTTTTCTTTATTGACATTTTTATTATTTTAAGTTTTATTATCAATCATTACATGTCTCACTAATGTCCTATTTTTAAATATTTTATTTTAAATTTAAATGTAATTATTGATCAAATAAATCTAAAATATCTTTAAAAAGGAAAGTTATTGAGGAAAAATAAATAAGCTTTTAAAACCATATGAAATGTGAAAATTTATATATTACTCGATTATTAAGCTAGATAGTTATTTAAAGGTAGATTGAAAATGAGGCGCAGCCTAAAAAATTATCAAAAACATTTATTACGCACAATAATTAAGTGAAATATTGGTAGTTGTAATTATATCGCAGTTTTACATTTAAACGATCAAATAATGATCATCAAATAAGTATAAAAAAAATTTAAATCTTTATTTATAGAATATTCATAAATATAAAATCCAATAAATCTACTGTATATATACTAAAATATACTACGTAAATAAATAAAAACAAAATATAATAATTTATAAAGTATAATGAAAGAAAGATAAAAGTAAAACTAACTTCAACATACAAACTAGTAATTTAAACTATTTTCTCTAACTTTCACATAAAAAAACCTTCATTCAATATTATGTTCACTATCTTGACAAATTTCATTTAATTCTATAAAAAAAAATAGATTAGATAAATTAGAAAGGAAATATCATATTAGTAAAATTAATAAATAATTACTTACCCAATTCACTTAATTGAACATCTAAGCATTCTGAAACTGTATATTATGTATTTATAGTATTTAAACATTAATAAATTTAAATAAAATAATTATAATAATGATAATTAAGAGAATACTTACTTGGATTTGCTGATGTTGATTGAGCAGTATAATTAGCATCTATTAAAAAAATAAAATAACATAAATAATGTAAAATGGATTATATGATAAAACAAAATTAAATTTAATTACCTGAACTGAATTGAAAAGATGATAAATCTGATGAATTTACTGGTTTTGGAAGATTTTTAAAATTTAAAAGTCTACTAGTATAAAATGCTTGTGGGTGTGTTTGGAAGCTTTTGGATTTATCTTCATTTGACCTGTTTTTGAATTTTTCTTCTCTAGTTTTATCACATTCTTTTATTTGAAAGTAAATTTCACTATTTTGACTATCGGCACCATCATCCCATTTCTTTAATAGTTGATGTAATTCTTTAGTGGTTGGTCTATTTTTTATTTCAGCATCCCAACATTTTATTATCAAATCTGCAAGTAACTTTGGTATGTCATTAGAAATTGTTGGTCTAAGTCCTTTACATATTTTAAAGGCTAAAAATTCATCATGAGGAATATCATTAAAAGGAATTTCTTCAGAAAGAAATTCATTCATTATTATTCCAAATGAGTAAATATCTGCTGCTTTTGTATATTGGTATCCACGTAAAACTTCTGGTGCCATATATGGTAATACTCCATAAATTCCTTCTTCTTTAACTGATTGCTTTATATTTGCTGGTTGACACATTCCTAAATCACTTATAAATGGAAGAGAATCAATACCATGCAATATATTACCTGAATGAAAATCTTTGTGAACTTTTTCAGCATTATGAATATCTAAAAGTCCTCTTGCAATTTGTTGTAAGTTTTCAATTTTCAATTTATAATTGATATAATTTTTAGATTTATTTAAATAATTTCTCAAATTTCCATATTTACAATAATATAAAACCATCATATACTCTTTATTATTTGGATCTTGAGTAATTCCATAACATTGAACAATATCATCATTATAAATCAGAAGATGAGATTTAATCTAATTATCATTAAAAATGAAAATTTTATTAATAAATAAATGCAAATAACAAACTTTATATATAAGATAAAGTAAGTTTAAATTACCTCATTTAAAAAATCTGAACATATATCAGAAGAATTATTCAAACTTTTTAATGCATATTTTTCAAAACTATATCTAAACCACTTTTGATTTTCAATATCCCAATATTCAATATGTCCTACAGGCCATTCTGCTGAATAAATCTTACCGAAACCACCTTCTGCAATATAAGTGACGTTTTGAAATTTTTCAAAAGGTATCCATTCAAGACATTTAAGAAAATGTACAGCATTAAGTTGTGATTGTTGTATAAATTCATCAATATGTTTATTTCCACTAGTCCAATTTTTGAAGTTATCCTTAAATCTTTTAGCATTACAAGATTGACACCAATTGAATCCTGTGCCAGGTTCTTTACATTCTCCACATATTCCATATGCTTGTTTTCTTTTTTCTAAATCTCCTATAAAAACTACTCTTTCATCTACATTTTCTGATTCAATAGTTGAATCAATAGTAGGAATTGTAACATGGAGCTTTTAATAGACAAAAAATTATTAATATTTTTAACTACAAAAATTCAATAAATAATTATAATTATTAAAAATATTAAATTGCTATTACCTGATGTTTATCATCAACTTCCTTCCATAAATTTTTTGGCTTTTCATCCATATTAATTAATTTGAGTTGTGAATTATAATTTTAATTTTAGTTATATAAATAAATAACTACGTTACTCAAAATAAATTTCAGAATTATTATAAGTAAAAGAAAAAAAAATTATGAATTGAACGAAATTCAATAAATTGCGCACATTTATTTGTATTACCATTTGTATTACTATTTGTACAACTATTTTATACAAACATTACTATTTTTGTGATTTTGTGACAAAGAAAATTCGTAAGCAGCTGCTGATCATCATAAAAAGAATCTAACCCGAAATGGTTAAAATGATGGTTACATAAGGAGATTCAGATCCAAATTTAGACAATGCTTTGGTACGTTTTATAAAGTTTAAAGTAAAAAAATAATTTTACTTCGCATTTTCAGTATTATTTTTTCGGTAATGTATACGTACATCATATAATTTTTTTTCAAAAATAAAATAGTAACAAGACTATGATAAAACTTTATGCTAAAAACCATTGCCAAATTATATATCAAAAATAAATTTAGTTTGAATAAAAAATTTTAATAAATTTATTTTAATCAAAGCTAGATGATGACGTTTGCTCATTTTTTACATAAGCTTATTTTGTCTTTTCGCTAGGAAAATAATTTTTAGATTAACAATAATATTATATGATTATAGTTAAATGAACCTTATCTAGTAAATATGGTAAATAAAAGAAATGTAAGGTATTTCATAATATCCATATAGAGAAGTTATTATTACGAAGGTGACCAATATTAAAGAATCAAAAATTTTATTGCATATATGTGAATCAATAATAATTTTGAAAATGTTATTATACAATTTTAAATTGGGTAGATTTAAACAAAAAGAAAATCTATTTATGTTTTTATTATTTTACGATATTTTATTTAATTTTGTATTGACAGATGTATTTTATGAATTGAGATCATAATAATCATATCTTCCATATTACCTTTGCACTAATCTTGACGAGGCGTAAAATAATTAAGAGTAAATAAAGTGTAAAAATTATGCTCACATTTCCATAATAAAATATTAACAAATGTTTTAAAAAAGACAAAAAAAATTCTTCGACAATAAAATAACATCTTTTGTTTAGTGAAATTAAGAAAGAAGAAACTCAATAATCCTTTTATGAAATTAATAACAAAATCTTTCCTGTAGTATCGAAATATCATTTAATTATAAAGATTTATGATTATATCCAGATACTGCGTTTTGCTGAAAACGTGATGTATATCTCTTAAGAAATGATGTGAATATTGGTGATAAAAATTCATGTCACATTATTAACCCTTCTCTGATTTTATCAATAAAAAATGAACAACAACAAACTTTTATCAAAATTATCACAAAATTTACTCGAGATTTTAAATGATGAAGAATATTATGATATAATTATTGAAGCTGTTATGTAAAAATTTCTCGTGCTCATGGTATTTTGTTAATTAATTATTAAAAGAAAAATGATGCAATTTTAACACATATCAAATTAATATCAATTTCTCCTGAAATTTTTCAAATAATTTAAGATAATAAAGAATTAAATTTAAACATTGTCATAACCATTTAAAGAAAGCTTTCCACCATAAATATACCTAAAATAAAAAAAAATGTAAAATTAGAAATGTTAAAATTTACGACATTTTGAAAATGATTCATTCTCAGGACTTCAAAAATATTGTACTGATTTAATGACAAGAAAACCATATAAGTTATTGAAATCACAAAATTTCTCATCAATTTCTGAGAAATTTTGATCACGCTTATCAAAAATGATAGTAATCAATTAATAAATCAAAACCTCATATGACTAGAGAAATTAAATTAAAAACTGTTGATTCAAAAATTATTTACATCTCGGACAAGTTAATTTCTGTAACATAATTAGTTCATCAAATACGTCTTAGTATTTATTAATGTTTCTTTGAAAGTAGGGATAATAAGGAACGAACAATTTTAAAATACTTTACATTCTTCTATAATAAATATGTCTTTCAGATTTTCTAAATGACTTTTCATACCCTATGAAAAAAAATTTCTTTAAAATATACTTAAAATGTACTTATATATTTTAAAATATATCTAAAATGTACTTAAAATTTTTAAATGTACTTATAATATACTTAAAATTGCAATTTTAAGTATATTTAAAGTATAAAATTTTATACTTAAATTACATTTAAAATATACTTAATTGCAATTTAAATATAATTTAAGTATAATTTAAGTGCAAAATTTTATACTTTAAATATACTTAAAATTGCAATTTTAAGTATATTTTAAGTATATTTTAAAATGTTAAGTATATTATATATAAGTATATTTTAAGTATATTTTAAAATGTTAAGTATATTATATATAAGTATATTTTAAGTATATTTTAAAAAATATATAAGTATATTTTAAGTACATTTTAAAGAATTTTTTTTTTATAGGGATATAAAGATTTTTTACAATAATTTCCACTGAAAATGCTCTATCATATAGCAAATTTGATGAAATTTTATCTCGCGAATGTCCATCACGAGATGCGCGAAATAAAAATTTGTATTTAAATGAAATAATAAAATAGTTTAATAAAAGAAATCTTAAAAAGATACAGAAAACAGTAAAAAGTAATTATTTATTCAAAATGATTAATATAAAATAAGGCTTTCTTCTATTATTAATCAAAACTGATATAATGAATCTTCTGGTTTAATGATTTTTGTTCGTTATATTAAGTATCACTTATATTGTTAACAATTTTAATAAAAAAAAATTTTATTAATAATTCAACAGTAAAATGTGATAATTCGGTCAAAGTTCTGTAATGTATTTAGAAAATCGACAAATGTTATATATTTATTCAAAACTTTTGGTAATTATTGGTTATTAATAATTTTTATCTATCGTAATTTGCAAATATAGTATTATTTATATTTCTCATTTATAATGAGTTTATATAAATATTCATTTTTATTAAAGGGGCAAGGATCGTTGAAAAGGAAAAAACCCTTTGAATATATGTACATATTTTTTTTTATCATAGTAGTTGACACGAATTCATTTTTATTAACCTTTCAGTTAACATGATATAAAATCTAGATTGAAGAAGAATTTAAGTTCACGGAATGTTTCTGGATTGAAAATTAATTCTTTCTGTTAATCATCCCACGTTTTATAAAGTCATGATATAACTTTTCAAACTACGCAGACTCTGACTCGAATAGGCTATGTTTGGAATGAAGAATTTTCTTTTAAATCAAGTAATTATAAAAGAATTTGCATTTATTATTAAGGACTTGTAACATCTTATAACTTTTTATTTTTATTTAATATATTTAAAACTTTGCAACTTAAACTTTTTAAACACAAGTAGAAAATTGTACAATTAAAACATCTAATACTATTTACTTATTTTAAATTGATTTGATTAAAAAATACATTCAAAAAAAATTAGCAGACACAGATCAAAAAAATTTACAATTACTAATTACTAATGACTAAAAAGAAAAAATAAAGTTGCCAGTGAATTTTTATGTATTTTGCTTCTCACTTCCTCACTTCCTCTCACTTTTATGTATATTTCACCTTATACATCATCATACAGTTGTAACAGTGCTAACTAACTATTTCCAAAATTCCAAGAATTAGTAGTTGATTTTTTGAAACACAACGTTGATTTACCAGTACTAGGGATTGGAATCAAAAATCGAATCTTTTTAAGATTTTTCTTATAGACGACCAACCTGACTTTGAATCAGTTTCTAATTTCAGCAAAAATAATCAGCACTTGGCCGGCATAAAAAATTACTTTGGAGTCAGGTTAACTTACATGTAAAAAATTGCTGAGAATCAATTCTCAAGAATCGATTTTACTATGTTTTGCCGATTTTCGATTAATCGATTCCAATCCCTAACCAGTACTATAACATACAGTACATTAATTTTCTTTTCGAACTGTTGGATGTTCTTTTAAATATTCGTTTTCTCATCAAAGACTGAACCAAGCTTACACATGACAAAAATGTATACGTGAGCCTTTTTGCTACCCGGTAGACTTTGACTTAGATTATTTATTAATTTATATTCTTCAAGAATTGACATTTTAAGGTCATTTAAACTGTCAAAAATCTCCTTATAGGAGTAACCGAAATTTTCCCTTACTATCAATATCTTTAACCTACAATTAAGCGTGAGCCAAAAAAAAGAAAGCATTGTAAAAAAAAATAGCATAGCAGTAATAAGGTAAACTGTTGAGAAAATATTTTGTTAAAACCTTACACCAACGGATAACCATTGAATTAATGGATTTAAAACATTTCTCAAAGAATAAAAAGTCATCCACTTTAATATATCGATCAGTGAATTGACCGGTATATAACAGGTGTAGAGATATTTTGCAGACTCACCTGCGTTTCGAGAGAAATCCAGCTCTATAAATTTATAAATAATCTTTGATTAATTTGATTCTAGAATGTTTATATTACGAAATTCTCAACACAAAACTTTGGCTGCATTATCAGCGTAACAGCGTTCAAAGTAACAAAAAAGAACGTTATCTCATACAACTTCTAAGAAATAAAACTACAATTATTATGATCACTCACTTAGATCTTTGAGTTTCTCAACTAATAGCATGATTTCTTTTGCAGGTTCATACAAAAATTTAAATGGGCCAGGAGTAAGTTTTTCCTCAGTCAACCAAGGGAAGAATATTCCATTAACCTTATATTTTTCAAATTTAGTTTTTACATAATTTTCTTCAATAAATGATATATCTTTCTCTCCATTTATATAGTCAATAATATTTTCTAAACTCCACTCATTAATGTTTGCAGACAAGGAAGAAGATTCACGTAATAAATCAAAATAAAAATTTTAATTTGTTTATCTGAAAGCTCGTCTTAAAAAAAAAATTATTTCCTGAAATATTGAACTACCCCAGCGGCACCGACAAAAATTTCGCGATAGGGCCGGCATTACGGCATTATGCACGAACACATGAAATAAACAGTGACGAATAAAGTGTGACAAATAAAATTTTACCTACTCAAAAAAAACTAACCCCCTCTGATAAATATAAACAGTTGAAACCTGGTGGGGTGTGCTGCTTGTGATGATTAAAAAGTATGTCCCGTGATTGTGAAATTTCCCACTGGGCTAGTTGAAATATTGATAATAAATACTGTGGAAGTGTATTCACTAAATCAAATGAATTAACTTATTCAGATAATTATTTCTTTTATACTTTTTGTTCATCTCTCCTGAAATGGGTGTTTATTTGGAGAATATTTTTTTTATTTTTGTATTTTAAATATTTTTAAATGAAAAAATTATTTTGGAAATGATTAACCAGTTACTGCGATTTGTTATTCCAGTTGTGCAATGATGCAATGCTTGTACTTGTGGTCAACGCTCTTGCACATAATGCATTTTTCATAAATATCCATATTATACTAATAAAGGCATTTAATAATAATAAAAGAAAAGAAAAAAAGATATTTACTTTATTTTTTCCAATTAGGGAGAATTTTGATATAGTAATGGACCAACGTGTTAAAGGTAAAGCATAGTATAACATGAAAGTTGAAATATTAAGATTTTTATTTATTAAAAAAATTTAATTGTAAATATAATTAAACCAACTTTGCAATATAACAAAACTAGTATTCGAAGGAAATGATACCAAGGAATCTAATGGTATGTCAAATAAGCTGAAATATTAAACTTTCATTTATAAACAATTCAAATACTATCTATAGTTTTATCTCATATAATATGCAAATATAATTTAGACTAATTATATTATATAAAAATTATGTTAAATTTTTAGCTCGTAAGTTAATATAATTGAATAATAATGAGTTACTCATTATTTTTATTGTATTCCATATAACTAAATAATTTATTTAATGATTAATAACACTGTTGTTTGTAAGTTATCAGTTATTTAAATTTTTAGTCCTTTACTTTATTTATTTTACATAACAACTAAATTCTTTGTTTAAATAACTATTTAACAATTAATTTTATTACAGATGGTAAGTTACAATATATATATTATATTTATTTGTTTAATATTTTATATAATTCAACTAATTATATTATTAATTTAAATAACTAGATTGTAAGTAATATATAATAACTTATAGTAAATATTTTGTATTATATTATATCTAACTAATTAATAATTAATAATACTACAGGGTGTAAGTTATATAATATCTATATTTATATTATTTATATAATTTAAACTATCTAATTTCTTTATTTATTTAATAGATCGTAAGTTATAAGTTATTTATTTAATTCTATTATTACTTATTGTTATAATATTTACATATAATTTAAACTATCTAATTTCTTTATTTATTTAATAGATCGTAAGTTATAAGTTATTTATTTAATTTTATTATTACTTATTTATACAATATTTATAGATAATTCAAACTAACTAATTTCTTTATTTAATAGATCGTAAGTTATAAGTTATTTAGTATTTAATTCTATTATTACTTATTGTTATAATATTTACATATAATTCAAACCAACTAATTTCTTTATTTAAAAAAATTAATAAGATAAAGGGTGTAAGTTATTTATTGTCCAGAGCGTAGCGAAGGACTATTTATTGTATGGAACTAGATAAATTTGTAGTACCAGTTTAACCCATGTAATTTTCCTTCCTTCCACCTACGTCATCACCACAATTTCCTTTTTGAAACATAATGCCCCTGCTTATTTCCCTTTATACTTTTTATTTTTAGTAACATTGTATGCAATGTCCTTGATTACTTAATAAAGCAAAATGTATCATGTTCATTATATAAAAAAAAAGACCCCGTATTTGAAAAAATTTTGTCACGTCGCGTTACTCCGCATATCACATCTGATAAGATCAATAATCAAACAAATAAGTCACATGAAAAAAAAAGTACTTTCCTATTTCCTTCGTCTTACCCTTCCCCTTACTTCTCTCACTTTTTCTGGGGTTTAGTTTCCTTGAGCGTGATATTTCAGGTTTTCATTTTTTTTTTCTTTAATTTTTTTATCTTGATGACCGGTTTTTAACATTTTTTTCTTTTTTAGGCATTGTTTCTTAGCACTTTGGATACATAGAAACTTGGTGAGAACATCTGCAAATGTATTTTTTCAAATTTATTTATTCTAACAAAGCATTGTTAACATTCAATTTTTCTCTTTTTTTAGATGGTTGATGTTTAAAACAAAATACTGAAAGTTACCAGCAGCGCCAAGAAAAAATGGTTTTTTATGAATAAATTTTGGTGTAAACTTGGCCCTTTCAGACTTTTTTTTTTATTTTTCTTTTAATGAAATGTTACTAATAGTTCTTTTCTTTTTTTCTTTTGTAGGTGATTCTTTGAGTCTCTTGGACATATATTTTGGTAAGTGAAGTATTCTTTTTACTTAAATCAATTCTTTTAGCAAAATGTTTGCTAATATTTCATCTTCACTTTTTTTAGAGTCATCTGGACGCGTTAGATTTAGGTAAGATATTTTTTTACTTTGTTATTTGTTTTAACAAAATAACGAAACTTTTACTAGTAACATTTCGTTTTATTACTTTTTTTTAGACAGTTTCTTCAAATATCTATGGACATGAATTTCGGTAAGGTTGGAAATCTGGTTCTCCCTAGATGCATTACGGTATGTGTTTAAATATTTTTTCTTTGTCTTTTTTTTTATTTTTAACAAAATGTAACGTCTGCTAATATTTTGTTTGTTTTTTTAGTTGCAGATTTTAGGCAGCTTTTGGGTGACGAAACGACTTATTGCTCCAGACTTACAATGGTTCCCATTTCCCTAGTTTAATTTTATTATCACTTGTTGTTGTAATATTTACTTATAATTTAAACTAACTAATTTCTTTATTTAAAAAATTATTAATAATAAAGCAAGTAAGTTATTTATTTAATTCAATTATTACTTATTGTTATCATAATATTTAACATATAATTTAACTAACTAATTTCTTTATTTAAAAAATTATTAATAATAAAGCAAGTAAGTTATTTATTTAATTATATTATCACTTATGGTTACAATATTTACATATAATTTAAACTAACTAATTTCTTTATTTAAAAAATTATTAATAATAAAGCAAGTAAGTTATTTATTTAATTCAATTATTACTTATTGTTACAATATTTACATATAATTTAAACTAACTAATTTCTTTATTTAAAAAATTATTAAATAATATAGGGAGTAAGTTATTTATTTAATTCTATTATTACTTATTGTTATAATATTTATATATAATTTAAACTAACTAATCTCTTTATTTAAAAAATTATTAATAATATAGGGTGTAAGTGTAAGTTATTTATTTAATTCTATTATTACTTGTTGTTATAATATTTTCACATAATTTAAACTAACTAATTTCTTTATTTAAATAATTATTTATGATCTAGCTTGTAAGTATCTATATTGTTATATATTTATATAATTTTTATTTATTTGTTGACTGAATTCTTTCATTTGAAAAATATAGTCGGTAAATTGTAAATCATAGGTTATTATATGTATTTATCTATTAATTAAAACTCATATTAATTAAACATTAAATTCCTATTTGAATTTTAGAGTAAGTAATAATTTATTCGTATAAATTATAATACAATCTATAATATAATTTTATTATTCAAATTTATAGATTTGGAAAAAGTGGAAATGCAATTATGGATGATTTTATTTTTAAAAAAAAATTAAATTGGATTCCTTATGACAAATTTAAAAATGTTGAATATCTTAATGAAGGAGGATTTAGTATTATATACAAAGCTATTTGGTTAAAGAATTATAAAGAAGTAATTGTTAAATGTCACAAGGATTTAAATGAAAATTTGAATGAATTTTTAAAAGAAGTATGATAGTGTATTGTTTTCTATTTTTAATTTAATTTATATTAATGAATTATTATTATTTTTTATAGTGGGAATGCCATACAAGTGTTTTAAACTCAACCAATATTATATATTTTTATGGATTCACAGAAGATCCAAATACATCGAAATATATGGCAGTAATGGATTATGCAAATGAAGGTAATTTAAGAGGAAATTTAACAAGAATAGTCAAAAATGATTGGAATCAAAAATTATATATGTTGTACGAAATTATTTCTGGACTTAGTAGGATACATGGAGAAAAGCTTATTCATTGTGATTTTCATGATGGTAATATTTTAAATCATAATGATAAGAATAAGGATAAAATTTATATTAGTGATTTAGGATTATGTCAACCTGTAAAATCGTTTATGAAAAAGTATGATATTAATGGTGTTATACCATTTATGGCTCCTGAAGTTTTAAGAGGCAAACCTTATACTCCAGCTAGTGATATATATAGTTTTTCTATGATTATGTGGGAGTTTACATCTGGAATACCACCATTTATTAATAGAGCACATGATCTTCAACTTAGTTTAAGTATTTGTAAAGGTGAACGTCCTGAAATTATTGAAAATACTCCACAATGTTATGTAAATTTAATGAAAAAATGTTGGAATGAAGATCCATTAAAAAGGCCATCATCATCAGAAGTGAAAGGTGTTATTTATAATTGGATTATCCTTTCCGATGATTATAAAATTTATAAAAATGTTGATTATAAAATTTATAAAAAATCAAAAAGCAACTTTATGGAATTTATAAATGCAATTGGGTGCAACAACCTTGCTACTAAATCTCACCCTAAAGTAGGGATGGCAACGGTCGGTCAGAGGTCTTTGACCGACCGATATCGGTCATGGTCATGACCGGTCATAACCGGTTAATGACCGTGACCATTGCCATCCCTACCCTAAAGCATGTTATACAAGTCGCCTACTTGACTTTACCAGTAAAAAATTGAATGAAAGTCTTGAAAGTGAAGATTTGAATGATTGTGTGATTAAAGATTTGAGGTCATTAGGTATATACTATAATATATAAAAAATAATTATTTATATGAAATGAATTAATTTATTTAATTATTAAAACAGATGAGAATACTAGTAAAAAGTTGAATGAAATTCTTGAAAGTGAAAATTCACAAGCTAGTGTAAAGGCAAATGAATGCTAGTAAGTGAAGATTTGAATGATTATATAATTAAGAATTTGGGGTCATTAGGTATGTACTATGATATATTAAAGAATCAATCTTGCAAATTATTTATGTGAAATTAATTTTATTTAATATTTAATTATTAGATATTAAAACAGATGAAAATTAACTAATCATTGTTTTTAAAAAATTTATAGTTTTTTTTAAGTAATATTTGATATTACACATTCAAAAGAAATTTTTTTTATTTTATTCTTTTTAGATTTATTTAAACACTAAGGCTAGAGTAATAAAATTTTACAAGTTTCTTAGTTTGTAATTTAAATAATTCTTTTTTTTTTAGCTTATGTATTTATATTCACTTTTTTTATTATATTTAGAATTATTTAAACACTATAGTAAATATTTTACAAGTTTCTTGGTTTGTAATTTAAATAAATCTTTTTTTTATAACTTTTCCAATTATGAGAATAATGAGATATAAATTATTAAAATAATAATATAAAACCATTTCCAATAATAATGTAATATTTTTTATATTTCTTACAATAGCTGATTGTGCTTAATTTATTATTTTTTTTTATTTGATAAATTAAAGTCTTCTAACTTTACTCTATTTTGATGTACAAGTACAAATGTAAAATGAATATATATATATATGTATTTATTGCTTGATGTGATCAGTACAATTAAGATTTGGTTATGATATTAATATTTATACTTAGTTAATATAATTATATGTATTAGCATTACACAATTGAAAATAGGTGGCAGTATATGAAATTATATTGACATACTGTATGGTATAAACAAATATAAAATTGATTTTTATTTTTATCAACCGCAGTATCAAAAAGATCACATAATTCACATTGTTCCATTTACCATGTGCATGAATACTGGCTCTGTTTTGATAGTAGAACAGGGCTGGTCTTTCGTCAGAACGGGTTGACAAAATTGTCAGCAGATTTTAAAAAATTTTTTAGTCTTTAGTTTTTAAATTTTATTAGAAAATTTTTCGTGGAGGATTTTTTTTTATAAAATAAAATTTTTGGTAAAGAATTCTTTTTTTTTAATATAGGTAAAGCTTTTCTTTGATGGAATTTCTTTAGTAATTTTTTATTAGAAAAGATTTTTTTTTTTTTTTTTTGATAGATAATTTCGTTAAAGAATTTTTAATAAGAAGATTCAGTTTTTTTGACAGATAATTTCGTTGGAAAATTTATTTTAATAGGTGAAAATGTTTTTTTGGTAAAGAATTTCGTTGGAGAATTTTTTTTTAATAGGTTTGTTTTTGATGGAGAATTTCATTAAAGAATTTTTCTTTAATAGGGAGATAAATAATTTTGCTGAAAATCTTATTATAGAAATTACATTATTGAATATTTTTTTTAATAGTTTATTAGTAAATTTTTTAACGGAGTGATTTTTTTTTCGATAGAGAATTTCGGTAAAAAATTCTCTTTAAATAGAAGGAAAGGTTATTGATGTTGTATAATATATAGTTAATGAAAATCTATAAAATTAACATAATTATAATATCTAACTATACTCCAGACTCAATTGTGAAAGGTTATACTCTTAGCGAAAGATATGAAGAGATACCAAAAGTATCAGATTTCTCTGATTCATCTGAGACATCCGAGCCATCTGATTCTAATGCAAGAGTAAAAGGGCCGTTCCTTATAAACGATGATGACAAAACACGTTAAGATCAAGAAAGTGGTTTCACATAAAAATTGTTACCGTTACATTTGTTAATTTATGTAAATGACTATCAAATTGTGTGACCTCGAGTTGAACTTATTTACTAGATTAATGATCAAATGACTTATTTGCTTGTAACACAATTTTTAGCCATCCTATAATTGAAAAGTATGAGCTTTTCTGCCTGTCCTCAAGTCTGTCTGAATGGATAATAAAAAGTGCAACGTATGTAAAAAACCTTCTACGAGTTATTGTTCGAAATGCAAGCTCATATATTATTGCTCTAAAGAATGTCAAAAAAAAGACTGGAAAGAGCATAAAACATCTTGTGGAAATTCGTCAGCCAAGCCTATTGAAACTGATACGAAACTTTCTTCACACCTTAATCCAATCTGGCTAAAAATAGCAATAATTGGTGATAATGATGTTGGAAAAACAACACTTGCTCGTCGTGTTTTTTGTCATCCCTGGGAATATGGTCAAACATTCTATTACCCATTATTACCTTTCAATTGGTATACATTGGGTCATCACTTTGTTTATAAAATTTACGACGCAATTGGCAATTTTAAATTAGGAGAAACTGATCGTGAAATCGAATACGAAGATACAGGTGCAATAATTCTTTGTTTTGCGTTAGATGATCCACAAACATTAATTAACATCGAGAAAATGTGGATTCCTGATGTCAAAAAAAGTTTTCCACACAAGATGCCACCTTTATTATTGGTCGGAAATAATAAAGTGTTGCGTGATTCGATACCAATTATTGAAGACCTAGACTTTTCATATAATGATTTTTTTAAAAGCGTTAAGGAAGAAAGAAAGAGAAAAAATAGGGGTAAGGAATTTGTAAGTAGAGAACAGGCAGAAGCAGTTGCAAACCGAGTTGGAGCAATTGGATATATGCAAGTTGATCCAATGAGTAAAGAGAATTGTAATAATGTGTTTGACAGGATTACTCTGGCCTGTATTCCAAAAGTTAGGAGACCACATAATGAGAAAGATCGCTTTGCTGAAACAAGGATTAGACAAGAGCCAATCTGAATTTTTTTCAGTAGATCTAAATTTTATGTCAATGTTAATGGATTAAACAGAATTTTTATTTCAATAAATTATTTATTATTTTGTGTAAACATAAAAAAATCTTAGTTACAGGAAATAGAAAAATATCAATATATAAAAAAAATCTCGTTACACCAAATATTAATAATTAAATGCCTTATACCGTTTAACGAAGTAACATCTATAAACAACAATATAAAAATGACTCTTCCTATAACGAATTTTCTTTATAACAAAATTTTTTTTTACTATAACGAAGATATTCTGTGTGACGGGAATCCTTTCAGCCGTTCACATTGTAACATAACGTAATAAATATCAACAATATACCACATTATACCCTATTATCCCAAATTTCCCATATTATACTATATTTTTCCAATAGAGTTTCGATCCGTAGCGGTTTTATCCGGTTTTTATCTGGATACCAGCTCGGTTAATTTAGGCTGGGACCACCAAAATTAATAAAAATTATGGAATAATATTATTTTAATTCTGGCCGAAATTATAGTCCACTCAAAGCCGAAATTTTGTAACCTTTTTTAATCATAATCCCACATTAAAATATTTGAGGTTTTATCCGGATCGAAACACTATTTTCCAATATAGTTAACGAATTTTCTTATAACGAAGGGATAATTTGCCTGGACACAGAATTCGTTATAAGGTGAGCTGACTGTATTATTAAAAGTCATGCTGGTCTGAAATCTGTGCCAGGTTACGCCGAATATACTAGCTTTAGAGTAAGGGGTGATGTTTAGCGTCATTTAGCGTCACATGATCACGTGCAAAGCCCGAGTTCCAAAAACACTATTTATCTGAGGGACTTAAATTTTTTTTTTTTTTTTTTTGGTCCAAACCTTATTTGTCACCTGTTATTTGTCACCGAACTCGGCGTAACCTGGCACAGATTTCAGACGTGCAAAAGTCATGTGCGATGATGCAATGTCACTAATCACCTGACCAATCCGTGCAACATAAAAACATATATTAATGCTCACAGCTGCAACTGGAAATGACTCGCTCACGCTAGCGGATGATTGTTAAAAATATGACACGTTTGAACTTATCTCATTTTTGAAGGAGCAGAACTTAAGGGCTTAACGAGACGGCACTCAAAATTTTAGAAAATGAAGAGGTTGACGGTTGTGTATTCCTCATTTGTCCAAGCAAAATTTTCAAGATTATGGTATGAAGGGAGCAAGGAGTGCAAGGAGAAAATTTTGAGGGTCTTCTCATCGTACAAGAGTTTGAAGGAAGTGTTGAAAAAGTATGGTATGGTATAGGCACGATCAGACAATTCCCACCAGTAAGTTTCTCAAAAATTATTTTTTCGGGAGAGAAGTTATTTTTTTTTCTTGATAAAATTCATATATCCTTCAAATAAATGTGTGAATCTGCATCGGAGAAGCAGAGAATTTCATACACAGCCATTAACTTCTTTCATATTTCTAGGTGACATACAACTCGAAGACGAAGACGAGGAGTTGCGACAATGTTTAAAGGAAATGAAGCGCAGGTTTGGAAATATGGGAGCTTTACTTGCCGATAGCAACGAAGCCATGCATTATGAATATATTTCGGCCATTCTCTATGCTTCGCTCTACACCATAAAAAGAATAACCAATAAAGAGCTTATCTTAGCCCCTCAGCTCGAAGTTGTTGGCGAAGAAAGTACTGGTCGGGTCGACCATGCAAACAAGGCTCTTGAAGAACTAATATGCATTACGGAGAGAATGCTACATCAAGTGGTCATGGGTTTTTCTCAGAATTTGGTCCAATGTGAAAGTGCATTACAGTGCATTACAGGTGAATAAGAGAAAGCGTAGGTGGGCGAAGCATTTGGGATGACTACGACTATATTATGTGATCTCCAAAACGGCCACGGAATGGTATTTCCTCGGACGGAATATCCTGTACAAGTAAAAATCCTCTTAATATACGCTTTACTGAGTCTGCCTTAAAAGAGGATTCAGAAGAAGAAAAGGAGTTGTATAAAAACGTGAAGTGGGTGATGGAGGTTATTGTTGACGCATCTCAATCACATCACATCCATTGCCTAAGTATGGTCGAACTATAGTTGAAATGACTGAATGGAGCAACGATCAGACCCGTACCGTATTCTTATTGATAAGCTGAAAAATAGAAATGAAGAATACCATGAATTTGAATAGCATCGCAACGAAGATAAATGACCAGCATGGCACGAACTTTAATGGATATCAATGCAAAGAAAAATTTGCGAATCTTATTAGAGACTACAACGTAAGTTATTTTTTGATCTCTTGGCGTGATCCCTTTGGGACCCGTTCACTTTCTATATGACATCCAATAGATTGTACATATATTTTTTCTCTAAGTCGATGTGCGAATATATGAGTGGCAGTCGAAGGGCGAGAAGAAGCCGAATATTGATGGATTTCGTACTCATTTTTGGAAGAGACCTGAAGATCCATTTGACAGAATCCGTAATATGAATATTTCCAACCGCGGACGAAGTAGGAGAAGTTCTTTACTTACACCTTCTATTGAGGAGGTTGAACAGGTACTAGGCCAAAGATCATCTAGCCAAAGAAGTAGAAGGAGCCGAAGCAATCGAAGAAGTTGTACACGTTCGGAATCTCTGTCTCGTAATCTATTTCAGACTCCATCTATGCCTTGTAATGAAGATGGTGATACAGGAAATTGTTGGAGAGAACACTCCGATTTTATCTATCCAACCACCATCTTATGAAGTTTCTACTGGCAATCAAATAGTGTGGATGATGGTAATAATATAACAATGAGATTATGCGCCACTTGTGACAGTTCTATGTAATAAATTTTAGCCATGTATTTTTAATAAAGTTTCGCCTCCATATTAGGCAATTGATTTTTTAAACAATGTATCGTTCCCTAGCAGCTAGGCAAACAGGAATATTTAAAAATAAACCATACATTGTTTTGCTCAGATGTCAACGCGTACAGTACTAACTCACGATATTTTTTTCCTTGATAAATTAATCAATGCTCTAAGATGTTACAGGGAAAGTTTCGAGGAGGAATGTCTTGCTAAAATAGAATCACATAAATTTTTACTTCACTCAGAGATACGGTATGTCCAAAGAAAAAAGGTTCTATAAGGACCGGATAAAATGGCTAAAGCGTGATTTATACACAGTGAGCTGGAAATAGCTAGATTTTATAAGGAATGGGTCTCAGAACAAGAAATCTTAGTTATCTGTATTGGTGAAAAAAATAAAGCATCTAGAAAAGGTCGCAGAAACTAAATTATTTTTTATAGAATCCCGAGAGGATCAGGTATCATGCCTTGCAAGAAGAGATATCTCAGCTTAAGGAAAGGATTAGTAAACTTGTCAGCAAAAAATTCTCTATAGATAATGTCAGTATGGCTCAGGCAAATCCAGATCCGGTTGATGTAATTTTAACCAATCGAACAGCTATCTCCAATAGTTTGTAAGCCATTCGCAGGCATATAGATGGGACGAGAGTTTCAAATCCTATTAATCTTGGACGGCATTTTGATAATATTACTGATGGACTAGATGGTATTCTTTGAAATAGTACCCAATTGCAAGGGACTAGTGCAGGGAAATAGAAATTTACAGCAAATATAGCAAATATTATAGCCGAGCGTGATTAATATCAAAATTTATTGAATGATGAAAATAGACGAAGTAAATGATCTCAGTTAAATGAAGCTAGAGCCCAACTTTAAGGACATATCGTATGTTAACAGATGCATTAAATTGAAAGAAATGCACGTAGACAGAATTGGGAATTAGGCTGGCTGAATTAAATAATACTCAAAGAGAGCGAGATGAGTATAGAAGAAATGCTCACAGAATGACTGTACGCTATAATACTGATACAGAATGCTGGAGAAGAAGGCATGCAGGTTGCGTTCGCCAAGCCCAGAATTGGAAAGGCCGATACCAACCAGATCCCAAACCTAAACAAAAATATTTTTAATTTGCAACAATTTTTAGCGCTTCAGAATAATCCGCCTAATAATCAACAAATGACATTGGTTCAACCCTTTTAAAGGTCTTCAGAAACCTATAAGTCGGAAAAAAAAATTATAAAAAAACTCACTTTTTTTACGCATCAAATTATGATACCTACAAAAAACAACAAACATAAGCATAATATCTTTTGAATAAAAAAAAGGTTTCGAAAATATATTGCTTTAAAACTTAATATTCATACCCAAAAGAAGCTGATTAAATATAAAAACCTATAAAATGAGAAAAGGGGTTTTCTTAAAAAAATCTAAAAAGAATAGTATATACTTTTAAATGTAGTCCAAGTAGTCCAAAAAACAAATCCTATTAAAAAGGAAAGTATAATGTTTCCTTTTAAAAAAGACGAGAAAATGGCATATACATTACTCTTTGAAATGATCTTTAAACTTTAACCCCAAAATTGATTTTTTTTTTTTTTTTTTTTTTGTAAGAAATTTAAAAAAGGATTCGATTCAGATATTTACAGTATCTTGGTTCTGTGGATCGGAATGGAATTACCTTTAATAAATAAAAATTAAGAAATATACAAAAAAAGATTATTTTTTTCTTTTTCTAAAATTCACAAAAGAAATAAACAAAATAAAACTGAATTAAATTATACGTTCTATAGTCCAAAATAAATACATTACCGGTCTATGATAATAATTCGTAATAATTTGACGCAACATATTGTACGTTACAATCGTTACATTATTCAAATTAATTTATATAGAATAATCTAAATATTACCAAACTTTTTTAATTCTATAGATAATAAAAAATGAATTAAATTAAATTAGAAGTAACTTTTTAAAGCAACTTTCTTAGGCGTGAATTTAAATTTCCATCATCATTTTCATAGTACTCTGATTTACCATCAAATCCATCCATCTTCACCAATTTTTTTATATCCTTAAATCCTTCAAATGGCAAATGGACTTTGACTGGCTTACATATTGTAACCTTTATAAATTTATTAATTTTGGGATTTCCACAGGTCCATTCTTCCATTAATCTAAATGGGTCACATTATTATACATCAAAACCTTCAGTAAAAGGTTTATTACGATATTCGATATTTGCTGATTCGGTATATTTTTCTGAAATATTTATTTTATTAAATTCAATTTCCGTTGGATTCGTTGGATTATTTTCAAGATCATTCACATTTCACACCCACTTTGTAAATTGTAATTTACTTTATATACCTTTCATGGTTTTTTCTGTTTAGCGTATATATATATTTTTTAATATTCTACTAATTTTTGTTCGATGCAGTATTACATAAATCATTTTTTGTCCGGCCCGCCGTAGTAAATTTTGTATTGCGCAACATGCACGTGACGTTTGGGAATGTGCAAAATTTGCTCACATGATCATCATTAATGACCAATTGTTTTCGCTATACTGTACATCTAATATTTATTGACGCTACTTTTTATACAATGTTCCATTGGAAATAAAGGATATACGTTACAATTGACCCATATAGTCACACTCTTTTGAACAATACGTATGTTTATAAGTAACTCGGAATAAGATGATTATATTGGGTCAAACTCTAATATTAAAAAAATATTACTATAATATACTGTATACTCAGCAGTTACTATTGTAGCTATAAAAAATTTTGAAAGACCAATAACTTTTATTCTAAATTTTTGTGAATTATATTTTAGGATAAGATAATTTGCCGTCAGAAATGATGTAAATAATACAACAATTCCCAATTATCGAGAGTATAATGTTAATTCTTGTCCAATTATCCATCCAAAAACAACAGTTGGTGGTGGTGAAGTACTGAAGTATGCAATATTTGTCTCTCTTCCATGCCTGATTCTAGGAAAAAGAAATTATCACCTTTTAAAAATAACATTAATTCGTGATCCGGATGTCGATCAGTGAAAATTCGTAAATAATAAGAACCTGACAAAGACAAGTCATTTCTTAATTTTTATCGGAAGAGAAATTAATAATACATTCGAAAGCTGTGGTTTTTCTGCTATAAAATACTGCGTAACATTTTCATTTTGTTGCACTGGATGCAGTGATACCTTACCCACAAAAATGCCAATCAAATAAATTTCATTAATGATCAAAATTTCGCACCATTTTTTGATAGTAATTTTCACTGATTTATAGCCGGATCTCGAATTGATAATAAAAAAATATATAAAGCTAAAAATAATGTTTTAATATAGGTAGGAAGCGTGGTACAAAAGTTGGTGCAACTTATTTTATACTATTATTCTATAAATACATTAAATACATTGTGATGTGCAGATCTATTTCAAATCAGGTATGCCGTCTTTATATATTTTTTTGCGTTCGGAGTTTTTCGTATATAGAGATACCGTATTTCCTACGGATACTTTAATTACTTTACTGTATGCATAAGTAGGTACATTTGCTTACAAAATTTCCGAATTTGCAAGCCTAAAAGGAGCGTAAAATGTAACTTTATTTTTAAATTCAGAATTTTTGCGGAACAAATTTACCCACTTACAATTAACATGTAAGCAAGTACGTAAATTTCTTAAAAATCGGCATATTTAACAGTTACTATAAAAGGATATTACCGTTACGTTATAACAAAAATCGTCAAAATAAATAAGGTCATATTTTAAGGTTTAACTTTCTAAAAAAAAAAAAAAACTGAAAGTTATTCTGAAATAAAGAAAATGGAATGCCCTTATTCGTGAAAATTTATTTATCCGAATACTCCCAAAATGTCTAGATCTACAACGAAAATATATATATATATATATTTTGTCATAACAAAGCCAATCTTATTCCTTTTTACATTTACTACAACAATAATTTAATTAAAAAGGATTTTATTAAAGTTTTATTTTTATTATGAATCGTCTGAATCTTGTTAGATGCATCTTATAAATTCAGTAAGAAGTTAGAAATGACAAAAATATCATAAAAACTTATGTTGAAGTTAGTTCGTGTATTAATTAAATAGTATAATAAAGGCTAACTGTACATATGCCATGTGGTTGGTAAGTCACCAATTATTTTTGGGATCGACAAAAGATTTGCGATTTCCCCTTGCGTAATAACGGTTGGCAAATTTTGCCTGAAAACCATCGAAGGATGATACTAAACAATAAATAATATTTGGTTGAAACAGAGAGAAAGGGTTAAAAGCTTCATTTCAGATGATCTTAAACCATTCTAAAATTTATTAAATTTATTTTTAATATTATGTGTATGTAAATAAAATTTATGAGAACAAAAAAAAATTGTTGGGCTAAAAAAGCCCTTGTTAAAAAAAGTTGTTTTTGTAATTTATTATTTACTTATAGTGTGTTAATATTCTTCCGTATATGGTTCTTTTTTTTAATTTGGCGGTAGTTTATTTGATAACATATAATTTCCTACAAATATAAAACGGTGTAACTTAATGAAATACTCTATTCTTCTAACAATATATCCAATAATCGATAAAAGATCATCAATTATTAAACAACACATGACACGTAAACATTGTGAATCTCCGAATAGAAAAAGGGTCTTTGTTTAATTTATTTTGATGATCAACATATGGGTTTCATGTTAAATTTTCATTCTTTATTCCCTTTTTTTTTCCTTATTAGGGTTTAAAATGTTAAAATAAAAATATTAAAATATTTTTAAATGAAATAGTGAAATGAAACTCTTTGTGTATCAATTTTTTTTATTTTTTTTTATTTTTTTTTTATAAAATGACGAATTTTTTCTTTTAATTTGAAATTTTTTAAGAGAAAAATTATCAGGAATAGTTTTTTCTCTTCATCCCGACACAGCCACCGCTTAAAATTTTTTTTTTTNAATGGGTTATATAGTGGGAAAATTGGTTAGACGCAAGATTTGGGTACAAAAAAATTTTTTTTTTTTGACTGTTCACTAATAAATTTGGGGACTTAAATAAAAATTTAGTGACTAAAATACTGTCAAATATTTATTTAATTTGACACCTTTTTAACTAACTTATTGTTTGAGCTTTATTTTGGTCACTTGATTTACTTGATTTAAATCACAAGTTAAAAAAAATTATTTTTTTCTTTCTTTATTATAATTTTAAACCATGTCACCAATCTTACCCGAAAAAGTTAAACGAAGTAAATCTGGTACAAAATACCTTCCTGCAGTTGACCTGCATGAACGCAGGTATAAAGAAGCAAGAAATATCGTAATAAATACGATACAAGAATCTCATGCTACGGGTATTTCTCGTATAAGATTCATAACTGGACGTGGAAATCACGTAAATCAAAATGGTGAACAAGGAGTACTTTATAAAGCTTTTCGCTCATGGTTGTCTGATACTACTATTAAACATTTGGTACAAAGTTATATCAAATATGATGGATCTTATGTAGTATTTCTTAAAATATCTAAGGAATCAAATTCTACGGATTCATACTTTGATGTAAGTGTTATTAAACAAGAAGCTTTAAATGGTGATATTGATGCGCAATTTATTCTTGGATTAATGTATCTTGATGGTAATGGTGGTGTTAAACAAGATGCTGCTGAAGCTTTAAAATGGTTAAGAAAATGCGCTGAAAAAGGTGATATTAGTGCACAATTAATTATTGGAAATTTATTACAAGAAGGAACCGTTGTTGATAAAAATGTTAAAGAAGCTTTTAAATGGTTTAAAAAAGCTGCTGAAGGTGATAATTCTGATGCTCAACTTATACTTGGAAGAATTTATCTTGATGGTAATGAAGCTAAACAACAAGATATTGGTCAAGCCTTAAAATGGTTTAAAAAATCTGCTGAAAAAGGTGATGATAGTGCACAATTAATAGTTGGTGAATTATTATATCAAGGAAAAGGCGCTAAAAAAGATATTAAAGAAGCTTTTAAATGGTTTAAACAATCTGCTGAAAATGATAATCCTGATGCTCAATTTACTATTGCAAAAATGTATTTTGATGGTGATGGTATTAAAAAAGATATTGATGAAGCTTTAATATGGTTGAAAAAATCTGCTGAACAAGGTGTTGTTAATGCTCAATTATTTATTGGAAATTTATTATATGAAGGAAATGTTATTAAAAATAATTCAAAAGAAGCTTTTAAATGGTTTGAAAAAGCTGCAGAAAAGGGTAATTTGGATGCTCAATTTACTATTGGACGTATGTATCTTGATGGTAATGGAGTTAAAAAAGATATTGAAAAAGCTTTAAAATGGTTTAAACAACCCGCTGAACAAGGTGATCCTAATGCACAATTTATCGTTGGAAATTTATTACAAGAAGGAAAAAGCGTTAAAAAAGATGCTAAAGAAGCTTTTAAATTATTTAAAAAAGCTGCAGAAAATGGTAATATGGGCGCTCAATTTACTCTTGGAAGAATTTATCTTTCTGGTAATGAAGTTAAACAGCAAGATATTGGTCAAGCTTTAAAATGGTTTAAAAAATCCGCAGAACAAGGCGATGTTAGTTCACAATTAATCGTAGGAAATTTATTATACGAAGGAAAAGGCGCTAAAAAAGATACTAAAGAAGCTTTTAATTGGTTTAAAAAAGCTGCAGAAAATGATAGTACCGATGCTCAATTTACTATTGGACGAATGTATCTTGATGGTGATGGAGTTGATAAAGATTTTGAAGCTGCTTTAAAATGGATCAAATTATCTGCTAAACAGGATGATACTAATGCTCAATTACGAGCTGGAAAATTATTATATGAAAGTAAAGATATGAGTAACGGTAATAAAGAAGCTCTCAAATTGTTTAAACAAGCAGCTAAACAAAATAATGCTGATGCACAAATTATGGTTAGTAAAATGTATTTAAATGGCGATGGAGTTTGGAGGAAAAATAACAAGAAATCATTAAAATGGATGTTAAGAGCCGCTGAACAAAATAATAATACAGAAGCTCAATTTCTCCTTGGAAAGATGTACGCTAAAGGCAATGGGGTTAAACAAAAGAATATTGAAGAAGCCCTAAAATGGTTTAAAAAGGCTGCTGAACAAGGACATTTTGAAGCCGGAATTATCGTTGATGCTTTTGTTTAAAACTTTTTATTTAAAAAATTAACGACTAAACGAATTTTGTAATTATTGTAATAAATAAATAAACATTTAAAATTTTATAAATATTTAAAATTTTACAAACACTTAAAATTTTTACAAACACTTAAAATTTTTATAAACTTTAAAATTTTTATAAATTCTTTTATTTCAAGTGAACTTTAATCGTGCTTGTTGCTGTGCAACGTATTTCTTTGTGCCCTAAATAAGGAAAATAAATAATTTGTTTCATGTTACAAACTCTCAAGTTTCAATTCATTTGTTCAATTGAGAACAATAATAAATTGACAACAATCTTTATGCAGTAATTTGATAAGACTAACACAACATACGCAGTAAATTTGAAGAGAAAAAATTTTATTACTAGAAAACAAATGAATTTGACAATTATTTTCGTCAAACCAGCCAAGTAAACATCATTTTTTAATACATTTATACCGTGTGCGTGAAGTATCGCTGAAAAAGAGTAAAATATATTCATCTTGAAATATAAAATTATGATAAATATTGAATGAATAAGGAAATTTCACGATTCAATTCAATATCTTAAACAGGTAAAATTTTTGACGTTTGTAGAAAAGTCTGATCGGTTTTGTCCGAAAATAGGAGCTTTTTATTATAGTTTTTATTCACAGGCGCTTATATTTTTATTCTATTTCATATTTTTCAGGAAATGGGTTTGTAAAAATAAATTGAACCTTACAAGGTGTCTGTATAACTGCAGTCCGAGACTTGTACCGACCTATAAAAAAACAAAAACGGACATTAGTTAACGTTCGTTAAATAAAATTAATAAAAAAATAGTAATAATATTCGAAGTACACTTATAATTAACCAATCACGTGATACTAGTAGCTTGTATTTTAAATTTGCCATGCCCATTCATCGTCGGACATGAATATACTGTACGTCTGTATCAGATAATGCTGGGTCACCTTTGTTACAATCAATTGGTCATCATTGTAATAATAATATAATATAATCAAGACAATCATATCACTTTATTCTCTTCGCTTCATTTTATCGCACATACAATAATAACGATATGAACCATAGGAAAATAAAAGACAAAGTTAATAATATCCAAGGATATTAGATTATGAAAAGCCCTATTTTAATACTTTTTTGTGAATGAAAATGAGACTAAATCTCAATTAAGTAAGATTATTAAATTGCCTTTATAATGAGCATACTATTCTGCTATGTAAATTTTTATAAATTTGACGAATATTGGTTATCAAAATACTTTTTAAGAATTTTATTTACAAATATTTCGTTTTTATAATTATTACGGATTTTCTGCCTAACAGTTCCACTTCCTTTTTTAAATTTTTATATTAAAATCGATTATACTTTTCATAGTCTGATATGCTCAAATCTTTTAAAATTACTATACTTACTATCATCGCATTAATTTTTGAATATTTAGCCCATGACTTAGAATGGAGCGACACTTGGGTTTTCGCATTGAATTTTTTGGTTATAATTCTATTGTCCAAATTACTTGAACTTGCAGCTAAAGACGTTAGCCTGAGAGTTGGCCGGGTAATTGTCAAAAGCGATTAAATTTAATTCTACTCAACATAAAATTGCCAGTGTTAAATGTTAATAGTTCTTTCTTTACCTTTGTTCTTGCAGATGAGCGGTAGTTTGCTAAATGTAACTTTCGGTAATAATGTGGTAGAGCTAATTCTTTCTGCAATAGCATTTATGGATGGACAGATACGCGTAGTTCAAGCATCTTTGCTTGGATCAATTCTCTCAAATCTACTGTTGGTATTAGGAATGTGTATTGTTTCAAGAGGTAGAAGAATTTTTCATGAAGAAGAGTTTAATCAAACTGCCGAAAGTATAATAGCTTTAGCGTGCATTGGTTTAATTTCTCCCACGGCATTAAATTTTTTCGTTAGAAATAGCAATACAAATAGTAAAGAACTTTCCAGCTTATCTCATGGAACAGTAATTGTTTTATTGATTATTTATTTCCTTTATCTCTATTTCCAGGTGAGTGTAATAATCTCGACAACGAGATCAATCTTATTGTATCGTATTATATTTTCTACCACGCACGTGATATCTAACTTCGTTACTACTATTTGGAGTTAAAATCTCATCCCCATCCATATCATGAAGAAGGAGATCAACCTAAATCATCGCTTATTATATCAATAAGTTTATTGGCTGTCGTATTCATTGTTGTGATTTTTTCTTCCAAATGCTTGATTGGTTCAATTGATGGAGTAGTACAATCTTTAGGATTAAGTAGAACTTTTGTCGGTTTTGTTTTATTGCCTATAGTTGGTAATGCTGCTGAGGTAATTGTCAAAATATGAATTTTCTTTCTATTTTTTAAAAACTAACACATTACTTTTAATTAAATGATAGATTATGACTGTTGCTACTACTACAATAAATAATAGAACGGGTCTTTCAATCAATATCAATGATGATGGAAATTCAGTGGTAAATAATTTTGTAAATTATACTGGTACTAAAAATTTTTTCTCTCTAACTTTACCTATTTCTCTTTAGCAAATAATACTTTTTGTTACAGCCACACCATTCTTTGCTGTACTTGGATGGATAATAATAAATGAAATGACATTACACTTCCAATCATTAGAAGCTGCTGTATTTGTTATTGCATTTTTAATGGCAAATTATCTTATTCAGAAATATAATTTGCAAAAATTTAAAGAAAAATTTTGGTCTTCCATTTAATTAGTTAATAATTATAATATTTAATATGTTCTGAATTTGATATAATAATTCTCATAACTAGTAATTTTTTATATAAAGAAGCTTAGTACACAGACGTCGCGCTTTACACACATGATCGTTTAATCGGAACTGGTCTCATGAATCGTTTCAGGGCAGGAATTTTGTTCTTGTAGTGTATTAATCTCATAAAATTGTAATGTATATTTAGAAATTGTTACGATTAATTTATAGAATATACAGTAAATATATTGTTTTATAATTTCATAAGATATTAATAAAAGAGGGTTAAGTTTGCATAACAATAAACAATGATCAGACGTAATTGTACTTTAACATAATTAGTCTAGTAATATATTCTTGGGAAAAAAAACAACTCACTGCATTTAATAAAGATGCATAATGATCAAATAATCGTGCGATAATTTACTAGAAAAAGAATTGTTAAATTTTTTTTTTTTTTAAGTTTTGAAGTGTTATAATTTATTTGATCAATAGTGATGATTGAATTAGATCTACAGACAAATTTAATTTTAAACCTCTGTGAAATCTAGTGTTGTATCCGTTTACAGCTGTTTTCATATTATTCGGGACAAGGTAAAATTTTGAACCCAACATCCGGTCCGGTATGTCGGATGTCGGATTGTCACGTGAATCAAGATTTATACTAAATGATCAATGGTGAAAGAAATAAACAAAATAAACAAAAAAACTCTTTTTACGACGACGTTAGACGTTTATTTATTTAAAATACAACAAAAGTGTTCGCCTCCAATATAATAGAAAGAGTTTCCACGCCACTAAACATCATTCCTAACCACTTTAATAATGAAAAATATCTTTTTATTATAAAACTTCTTTGTTATTTTGTATTTACTGTTCTGAGTGTCTACTGGTCTATCTTTATAGTACCACCTGTTTACTCGCTCCTTCTCTCAACAAGTATACGAAGTCCTCTCAAACTTACTTTATGAATGAACGACGAAGATAGTAAAACTTAACCCTTACCTCACATGTGACACCCGTGGAAGCGGAACGGCAAAAATTATCTTTTTGTCCCTATACGACATCCTTTTTTGACCCTCCTATATGTAATATAGTATATGCGGGTCAAAAAAATAACACGAGGAGGGTCAAAAAGGTATTTCTTGCAGCGGAACGACCCGGATTATATACAATACTAAAAAGGAATGCTATAAATAACACAATAAAAATAATAAAAATAAGCAAACTAACTAATTTATATAAAAATGAATGATAATCATTTCATTAGTACTTAATAATACCTAAGACTAAATGAATTAACCATGCGCCCGTGGTAAATCACGTTGCCACTGCAGTCTTAACAAAAATGATGTTTAATATAAAATCACATATATATAATACAATGCTTGGTTAATATAATGATGCAATATTAAAAATTATAAAAATAGAATTCGAAAACCTCCCCTTTTAACTAAGTCAAATTATCTTGCCTTTTATAATGAAATCATCAAAATAAATTCTAAGTTCATAAAAATATTTTGTCTTCCCTTTTTGAGGTCTCCCATTATTAAAGCAAACGGATTTTGATCTTAGACAATCTTTTCCTTCACTTTCTAAAAATATAAGTTTCTACTTTAAATAAATATTCACTTTGAAAATTCCTAAAAATTGATCTTCAATCCTATTTCTTATTATGGTCATTCTACGATCCTAATTCCCCTTCGGCCCTTCCCAATAAATAAGAATACATTACATTTGCAACATTCCACAATTATAATACTTTAAAATTTTATACACTCGAAACTGAATATAGACTTCCCTAGCGTAACCTGAAAAAAATGTCACGAAATGGCCGGCATTACGCAACTTGACTGAAATTAATTGTGGCGCACTTGTGACGAATAAGGTGTGACGAATAGGTTTTTACATACTCGAAAAAAACTAAGTCCCTCAGATACTTATAGAAAATGGAAACGCAGTGGGGTGTGACGGTTGTGACAAAAAAAATGTCACGTGAATTTTCGTGACATTTTTTTCAGGTTACGCTGGGTCATAAAGATGCTGCCCGAAACTATTTTTCAGTTTCCGAAACCGAAACTGAAACCGAAACTAAACCCGAAACTATTCCGAAACTCCCGAAACTAGCCGAAACTCCCGAAATTAGCCCGAAACTCCCGAAACTAGCCCGAAACTCACTAATTTTGGCCAAAATTAAAATTTGGCCAAAATTATGACATTTTATCACGTGACGTTACACCAATTTCCTAAAAAGGAAATTATGTTTCCCAGTAAAATTGGAAAAATTAGTCACACAATGGTTACACGAACTTACAAAAAAGGAAATTTTAATGTCGATCATTTTCTTGGCCAGAATTACGTCCTAAAAATGGCCAGGATTATATCAATAATTTCGGCTAAATTTTGAACTTTCAGTAATAATTTTGGCATTATAAATTTTGGATTAATTTTACCAGTTTCAGATTAGTTTTACCAGTTTCGGGTTAGTTATACCAGTTTCGGGTTAGTTTTACCAGTTTCATATTAGTTTTACCAGTTTCAGATTAGTTTTACCAGTTTCAGATTAGTTTTACCAGTTTTACCAGTTTTGGAAAATAAGAAAATTTCAGAAATAGTTTTACCAAGTTTCGGTTTTGACAGTTTCGGAAACTACTAAGTTTCGGGCAGCATCTTTACGCTGGGAAAGTCCTGAATATAATACTGCGCCTCACAACTAATAAATTCACTAATTGATATACATTCCCAGTTGTGCAAAATTTATTTGTCATATACTGTATGCAATGATGCATATAATGCATTTTGCATAAATATTATTACCATATTTATTCATACCGTTTAATAATAATGAAAAAAGAAACAAAGATATTTTCCGATTAGGGAGAATTTTGGGTCAATATATTGGTAAAGGTAAAGCATATAACATGAATGATATAAATTAGAATTATTCAAAATTATTAAAACAAACTTGCAATATAATAAAACTAGTTTTGTGTGGAACTAAAGAACCTGAAGGTAAATATAATATACAAAACAAAGTTGAAATATTAAGATTTTTATTTATTAAAAAACTTAATTGTAAATAATCAAATATAATTAAATCAAATTTGCAATATAACAAAACTAGTTTCAAGTAATATTGAAGAATTTGAAGAAAGTGGCACTGGAGAATATAAGGGTATATTAAACAAGCTGAAATATTAAATTTTTATTTATTAAAACATTTAATTGTAAATAATCAAATATAATTAAACCAAATTTACAATATACAAAACTAGTTACCAGTAATATTGAAGAATTTGAAGAAAGTGACACTGAAGAATTTGAGGGAGTGGAACTGAAAAATTTGAAGAAAGTGGTATTGAAGAATTTAAAGAAAGCACTAAAGAATTTGAAGGAAGTGGAACTGAAGAATTTGATGATAGCAGTATTAAGGAATCTAAAGGTATATCAAACAAGCTGAAATATTTGTTAATAATTTAAATACTATCTATAATTATACCTTATGCAATATACAAATAAAATTTAAACTAACTATATTATACAAAATTATATTAAATAATTTAGCTCGTAAGTTAATAAGTTATCTTATAATTTCTTATAATTGAATAATAATGACATTACTTATTATTTGTGTTATATTCCATGCAACTAAATAATTCATTTAATGATTAATAATACTATAGTTAGTAAGTTATCAGTTATTTAAATCTTTAGTTCTTTTCTTAATTTATTTTACATTATATTCAGATAAATTCTTTGTTTAAATAACTATTTAATATTACAGATGGTAAGTAACAATAGTATATTTATTTGTTTTAATATTTTATATGACTCAACTAATTATATTCTAAATTCAATTAACTAGATTGTAAGTTGATAGTATATTTAATTTATAGTATTAAAATGCTTTGTATTATATTTGTATCTAACTAATTATTGATAATTATACTACAGGGTGTAAGTTGTATAATATTTATATTTCTATTATATATATAAAATAAGCTAACTAAACTTTATTGAAAAATTTCCTTTTAGTTGGTAGGTTATAAGTTATTTATTTAATTTTATTATTACTTATTTATATACAATATTTAAACTAACAAATCCTTTATTTAAAAAAATTATTTAATAATATAGAGTGTATGTAAGTTATTTAATTAATTCTATTAATATTTATTTATATAATATTTACATATAATTTAGACTAACTAAATTCTTTATTTTAAAAAAATTATTTAATAATATAGGGAGTAAGTTATTTATTTAATTTCATCATTATTTATTTATATAATATTTGCATATAAACTAAATCCTTTATTTAAAATTATTTTGTAATTTCTTTTAGCTGGTAAGTTTATAAATTATTTATTTAATTCCGTCTATTATTGCTTTTAAATAATACTATATATATAATTCAACCAAACTAAATCCTTTAATTAAAAATTATTTTGTAATTTTCTTTTAGATGGTAAGTTATAAGTATTTATTTAACTCTATTATTACTATTTATATAATATTTACAAATTTTTACTTAAAAAATTATTTTATAATTCCTTTTAGATCGTTAGTCATTTACTTAATTCTATTATTAAATATTTATATAATCCTTACATATAATTTAAACCAACTAAAACTTTTATTTAAAAATTATTTAATAATATAGGGTGTAAGTTATTTATTTAATTCTATTGTTATTTATTTAAATATTTGCATATAATTTAAACTAATAAATTCTTTATTTAAAAAATTATTTAATAATATAGTTCGTAAGTTAAATATTTAATTTTATTATCACTTATTTATATATAATTTAGACTAACTAAATTCTTTATTTAAAAAATTATTTAATGATATAGAGAGTAAGTTATTTACTTAATTCTATTATCACTTAATCATATAATACTTATATATAATTTATTCTTTATTTAACAAAATTTTTTTGTAACTTATTTTAGATGGTAAGTTATAAATTACTTATTTAATTCTATTATTATATATTTATATAATATTTAAAAATTATTTTGTAATTTCCTTTAGATCGTAAGTTATAAGTTATTAATTATTACTTATGTACATATAATTTAAACTACTAACTAAATTATTTATTTAAAAAATTATATAATAATATAGGGTGTAAGTTATTTATTTAATTCTGTTATTAATAGTTTATATAATATTTACATATAATTTAAACTAACTAATTGTTTATTTAAAAAATTATTTAATGATATACTAGGGTGTAAGTTAATCTATTTAATTTTATTATTAATTGTTTATATAATATTTACAAATAATTTAAACTAACTAAATTCTTTATTTAAAAATTATTTTTATAACTTTGTTTAGTGAGTAAGTTATAAGCTATTTATTTAATTCTATTAATTTAATTTAACTAATTCTTTATTTAATAATATAGGGAGTAAGTTATTTTTAATTCTATATTACTTATTTATATAATATTTAAATATAATTAAACTAAATAAACTATTTATTTAAAAAATTATTTTGTGATTTCTTTAGCTCATAAGTTATAAGTCATTTATTTAATTCTAGTATAATTACATATTATATGATATATACATTAATTTAAACTAATTAAATTCTTTAAATTATTTTAATTTCATTAGCTCGTAAGCTATTGTTATTTATTTACTTATTTTATATAATATTTTCATATTAATTTAAACTAACTAAATTGTTTATTTAAAAATTATTAATAATGTAGGGGGTAAGTTATTTATTTAATTCAATTATTACTTATTTATATAATATTTACATATAATTTAAACTAATTAAATTATTTATTTAAAAATTATTAAATAATACAGAGAGTAAGTTATTTATTTAATTCTATTATTACTTATTTATATAATTTAAACTAACTAAATTTTTTATTTAAAAAATTATTTAATATTATAGAGTGTTAGTTATTATTCAATTCTATTATTATATATTTATATAATATTTAAAAATTATTTTGTAATATCCTTTAGATCGTAAGTTATAAGTTATTAGTTATTACTTATGTACATATAATTTAAACTAACTAAATTATTTATTTAAAATTATATAATATTATAGGGTGTAAGTTATTTATTTAATTCTGTTATTAATAGTTTATATAATATTTACATATAATTTAAACTAACTAAATTCTTTATTTAAAAAATTATTTTACAGATGGTAAGTTATTTATCTAATTTTATTATTGCTTATTATTTATATAATATTTACATATAACTTAAACTAACCAAATTCTTTATTTAAAAAATTATTAAATAATATAGAGAGTAAGTTATTTATTTAATTCTATTATTATTTATTGTTATAATCTTTACATATAATTTAATCTAACAAATTTCTTTATTTAAAAATTATTAAATAATATAGGGTGTAAGTTATTTATTTAATTCTATTATTACTTATTGTTATTATATTTACTAATAATTTAAACTAACTAATTTCTTTATTTAAAAAATTATTAAATAATATAGGGTGTAAGTTATTTATTTAATTCTATTATTATTTGTTGTTATAATATTTACTTATAATTTAAACTAATTCCTTTGTTTAAAAATTATTTCATAGATGGTAAGTTATTTATTTAATTCTATTATTACTTATTGTTATAATATTTACATATAATTTAAACTAACTATATTCTTTATTTAAAATATTATTTTATAGATAGTATGTTATTTAATTCTATCATTACTTATTGTTATAATATTTACATATAATTCAAACTAATTAACTATTTATTTTAAAAAAATATCTTATAATTTCTTTTAGATCGTAAGTTATAAGCTATTTATTTTAATTCTAACATTATTTTTTATATAATATTTACATATAATTTAAACTAATTAAATTCTCTATTTAAAAAATTATTTAATAATATAGAGAGTAAGTTATTTATTAATAATATTTTTATTATGGTTAAATATTATTTAAGTTATTTATTTAATTCTATTATTAATTATTACATGATATTTACATATAATTTAAACTAACTAAACTATTTGTTTAAAAAATATTTTGTATTTCTTTTAGATCGTAAGTTATAAGCTATTTTTATTTTAATTCTACCATTACTTATTTATATAATATTTACATAATTTAAACTAACCAAATTCTTTATTTAAAAATTATTTAATAATATAGAGAGTAAGTTATTTATTAATAATATTTTTTATAATGGTTAAATATTATTTAAACTACTAAATTTTTAATTTAAAAAATTATTTAATAATATAGAGTGTAAGTTATTCATTTAATTCTATTATTACTTAGTTATATAATCTTTATATATAATTTAAACTAACCAAATTCTTTATTTAAAAAAATTATTTGATAATATAGATTGTAAGTTATTTGTTGTTTCTATTGTTATAATATATTTCATATAATATTTATTTGTTACTGAATACTTTCATTTGAAAATTTCTGTTACTTTAGTTGGTAAGTTGTAAAATATGAGTTATTATTATAAATTTATACAAAAGTTAAAACATATATTATATTAAATTCCCATTTAAATTTAGAGTAAGTGTTAATTTATTTTAAACTTAATTTTATGTAAATTTTAATATAAAAGTTATAAACATTAATATAATTTTAATCATTTACATTTATAGATTTGGAGAAAGTAAAAATAGAATTATGGATAATTTTATTTTTGAAAAAGGTTTAGAATGGATTCCCTATAATAAACTTAAAAATGTTGAATATCTTAATGAAGGAGGATTTGGTACTATATACAAAGCTATTTGGTTAAATAATGATAGAGATGATGGAGATAAAGAAGTAATTCTTAAATGTCATAAAAATTTAAATGAAGATTTAAATGAATTTTTAAATGAAGTATGATAATATATTATTTATATTTTTAATTATTTAGATTATAATCTATATATACTAATATATTATTATTTTTTATAGTGGAAATATCATGAAAGTTGTTTAGATTCAAGTAATATTATAAATCTTTATGGATTTACAAACAATCCAGATACTTTATTATATATGGTAGTAATGGATTATGCAAACAAAGGTAATTTAAGAGAAAACTTAACAAGAATAATCAAAAATAATTGGAATCAAAAACTATATATGTTGTATGAAGTTATTTCTGGACTTAATAAGATACATGAACAAAATCTTATTCATTGTGATTTTCATGATGGCAATATTTTAAATCATAATAATGATAAAGTTTATATTAGTGATTTAGGATTATGTCAATCTGTAAAATCATTTTTGAAAAAGTATGATATTTATGGTGTTATACCATTTATGGCACCTGAAATTTTAAGAGGTAAATCTTATACTCCAGCTAGCGATATATATAGTTTTTCTATGATTATGTGGGAATTTACATCTGGGGTACCACCATTTAACAATAGAGCACATGATCTTCAACTTAGTTTAAGTATTTGTAAAGGTGAACGTCCTGAAATTATTGAAAATACTCCACAATATTATGTTGATTTAATGAAAAAGTGTTGGGATGAAGATCCATTAAAAAGGCCATCTTCTAAAGAAGTGTTGAATATTATTAAAGAATGGATATTTCTTCCTTATAGAAAGAAAATTAGAGATATTAATGAAGAATTAAAATGTAATATTTTGAAATTTATAAATGCACCAATTGGATATAATAATCTTGCTACTGAACCTCATCCACAAGCACACTATACAAGTCGCTTACTTGATTTTACTAGTAAAGAATTGAATGAAATTCTTGAAAGTGAAGATTTGAATGATTGTATGGTATTAGGTATGTAATATAATATATATAAAAATTAATCTTGCAAATTATTTATGTGAAATTAATTTATTTATTTGGATATTAAAACAGATTAAAATTGACCAAATTATTTGTGTTTTAAAAAAAGATATATATATTTTTTTTAAGTGATATTTGATATCATGCATTCAACAGTAATTGTTCTTTTGTTTATTTTTAGATTTATTTAAACACTAAGGCTAGAGTAGTAAAACTATTTTAAAGATGCTTAGTTTGTAATTTAAATAATTCCTTTATTTATATTTTATACAAATATTAATTATATGTATTCTCTTCTTAGAGTTATTTAAACATTAGGCTAGAGTAGTAAATATTTTACAAATTTCTTAGTTTGTAATTTAAATAAATCTTTTTTATCTTTTTTTTATAACTTTTCCAATTAGTATTAAATATAAAATATCGAATAGTAATAAAAGTATATAAAACCATTTCCAATGCATAAAATTAAAATCAAGTAATGTATAATATTTCATACTCATTTCAATAGCTAATTGAATTTATATTGTTGTCTTTTATCTTCAATATATTAGTCAACGTAAGGAACTACACCAAGAACATTATATTATAATGTATCAGTTATTTTTTTTGACAAACCAAAGTATGCTAACTTCATTCTATTTTGATGTTCAAGTACATTTGTACATGCTAAAATGAATATATATATTAGTTTATTGCTTGATGTAATCAAATTAGAAAAATCAATGGAATTAAATGGAATTGAATTACAAATGGACATTCGAATGGTGTTTAAAATCAACTGAATCAAAGAAATGCAATAGAAAAAATAGTTTAGGAGATTTATTATTATGGTAAGGAATAAAGCGATCATGGCAAAGCATTTAAAATCAGCTATGATGGATGTGCTTTGAGAATATATAATTAGAGGTTTGTTTCATTATGGCAAATAGAAGAGTGGCAGCTATTTGTTACAAAAAGCTTCAGATAAACTCATAAGGAATAAAGACGCAAAGATCAGGTTGAATAATTAAAGAATAAAAAATTATAATTTTGGCGTTACGACCATAAAATGTGCATAACGGACGAGATACAATTAGCTATATAAGGTATATATATCAATAGTAGAATGATTTTTTTGGAAAATTAGTGTTTAGTATTTAATCATTGTAATTAACAAAAATTTACGGTTTATAGCAACGTTTCTTGTTAATGATTGATTTTTTCATAAAACAAAATACATTCTTTTTTTATTAAAAATTCCCAAATTTTATTAATAAAAACAGCATTTTCGGTTTATTTTTACGAATATAATAAAAGTAATGTTAGATTGTGCTATAATATATGTAAGTATTGATAAGTTAATTTATAATACGTTCTACTTTTTTATCAATTTTCAATATCGGCATTATAATACAGTAGATAGTATACTAATTATTAACCTCTAAAACTAGATATTTAAAAATACTTAAAATAAGTCGAGAGTTATTTTAATAAATTTTTTTATTTTTATTTTTAACATATCAACAGATACAACAGCCTAAGCTGTCTTACTCTATCACCTTTGAGTGATCGATCCGCCAAAAAGAAATAGGCTAAACCACTTCTAAGAAAAAAATTTAAATCGAAAATTAAAAAAATTAAAAAAACCACTTCCGTCCATCACACTCCTATGTAAACACCACTTGTGAGTTTCTACAAAAAAAAGAAGCGTAAGTTATGCGTTATTTTCGTTGCTATCCACATCCTTTTGTTAGTCAAGGAGATCTAGGACATGAAATAAATTTAACAATGTCTACGCGTTAAGCTTTACTCTATTAAATTCAACAATTTGGTTCCTTCGAACTGCTTTGTTCTTGGCGTTGAGGCGTACGTTGCCAGATTTGTCGGGTGAGGATTTAGTCTTTGTGTCCTTTTTGGACTTTTTAGGAAGTAATTTACAGGGGTGCGGGATGCGATCTCTTGATTACTAGGAAGTGTTTGTGCATCTCAAAGAAGAGAATCCTTTGATTTTCCCATTCTGTATAATTTCACATGTTGATTTAGTTCACTTTATGATGTGCAAGGAAGGAAGCGAAGGAAGCCAAGCCAACATAAGGTGAATTCTAATCGAAATTATCTGAATACGTAAATCTTGCCTGGAATTTTTCCCTTTCGGTCCTTGAGTTTCCAGTGTCCAAGATACCAGTAACCCATTTGTCACCTAATTTTTGTGCCCACGACCGCATAACGAAATTTGTGTCCACTTTGAATAGAGGAGTATTTGTATTTGGCTTTGAAGCCATGAATGATTGAATGACGTCGTTATTCAGTTTTTGTGTCCTTTACGTTGTTACAATCATGTGATTAATATCCAACGTGACAAGAAAGCGCACCCTTTATTTCTGAGATATTTACTCAACGAAACTTACGGCTGATGTTTCTATGTTTACAATTGGTTCTTACTAGAGTTGCAAAGTGTTTCGAATGTTCCATGAACGTTTTTTTTTAACATTTAATCACGTTATATTACACAATAAAAAAATACTAGGTGATTACGACGAATAATACAACAATGTTTTTGTTCTCATTTTGCGATGACTAATATGCAAATTAAGTTGATGGATATAATAATACTAAATAATACAACTTATAATTGTATAAAAAATTAATTTGGTATAAATTTTACACACTTATAACCAACTATTTTATAAAAGGTTATGGATGAAAGATTTGATACTAAAAAGTTAGAATTTGCAATGATTTGATGAACAATTTGTAAAAGAACTAATTAAAAGAATTGTACAATCAAAAGAAAAAATTAGAGACCATTTAAAGGGCATGAATTTGTAGTTGTGATACCGACTTAACTGAAACCAAATGTTAAAATTGTTTTATGATTTTAATTTTAACTAGTTGTTACAATTGTTAAAGACTGGGATAAAATTTAAATGATGGTTTGTTAAGCTTATGTTTAAAGATAAAATTACTTCCGCATTTGATACTAACATTACAGTCACCACTGGTTATGACGAACTTGTTTGTACCGAAATCTCGTTATACCGACGAACCAGAATCGATTTTTATAAATAATTCCACCGGATATGACGAACTTTTATAACATAACACTATATAACGCATTCGAACCTAACTTAACCTGCCCCATATATTAGCCATATTTTCTATAACGAACACTATATATATACTAATCCAGGCCAAATTTATAGTGCCGGCCAGGATTATCAGTAATTTTTTCGAAAATTTTTGCCAAACGAATTATTAATTATTACGTGCGGCTTCGATTTGAAGCCTCTTTGCCGCAAAAAAAAAAATCAAAGAAATTATTAATTATTATCCAGAAATTATAACGAATTCACTATATACCGAACCAAATCTCCTGAAACGGAGGGTTCGTTATATTCAGTGGCGACTGCACATTCTAAAATTGTTTTCATTAACAAAATATAAATGAAAAGTCTGTGTAATAAAATTAAATTATTATTAAAATTTATCATTATGAAAAGAGTCTGCTTAGTGATAATTTCAACAACGTTAGTTTTTTGCTTTAATTATAATTCTCATCAGTTAAGTCGGCATCACTAATTTGTAGCTAGTTCTGCTAATTATGCCAGCCTAAATGCTGCTTCATTGCTAAAAGATTAATTATTTTATGGATAGTAACATAGAATTTATAATGGTGCCATGCCTCGTTAACAAGCCCTTCTATAGAATTATATGAACACAACCGGTATCAACTTATATGAAAAATTTTTCTTGATCAATAAATAGTGATCCAAACATATTTCTTCTTTAATCTAATTGACAGAATCAAATTGTTCTCTCGTTATCGGAAAATTCTAGAAAAGGCAACAAAATTATCTATCAGCATTTATTTTTTTCTACGAAATTACCCTGCCTCTCATTTTCTAGTAAAAAATAGAAATACGAGGTAATAAATTAATATCACCACTAATTAAATTATAATAATAATTAGTCTTATTAAAATATTAATTGAATGTTGTTTTAGAAACCATTTTCGTTCGAAAAATTATTCTGCAGTAAAACATTGAAGTCCATAGTGTACGATACAGAGGTCCCGTGGCGACTAAATTATTTGTTACGTTAACGTACAGTATTAAAAATAAATTTTAATTATGATGTCATTGTTACTATCATTTCGAATTCTTGTCATTTGACAAATGACTACTCATTAGCACAATCAAATCTTTAACTAATCGTAATAAACTTGTCATATTGTTTACCGGATAAAAAAAACAGGGTTTTAATAATTTAACTATATATATACACACTACATGCACTTAAAGTTTTGTAAATTATCAAAGGATGGAAAGATGGAAAAGGACTCGTGAAAATTTAACCAAAAATACCGACAGACGTGTGAAATCACGTGACCATACTTTATGGTGAAACGGAGTTAACGGACTAGTTTTAGATAAATATTGAAGATTTAACTGGCTAATTTAGATAAAAGAGTTGCGCTTTGGGCGTAAAACCTAATGCAAGCACAAGAAAGAACAAACATATTCTTTCTTAGAACAAAATATCAAAATATCAAAACATAAAAAATGGAGTTTATGTATAATTGTGATGTAGTGTCTAGGGGGTTAGATAAATATACGGGGGGGGGAAACTCATAGGTTACACAGGCTGACCAATAAAAACCCGAACTGTCGCCACTATAAATTGGTTACACAAACGAATTTTCATATTAAATCGCGCAAAAATTTTACTTTTTTTTAATTTTTTCGACGCGCATAGATAGAGAAGCAGCCGATCTTAAAAGTTAAGGTTGTATATGTAAGTGTAGTTTTTTTTATCAAAATTGAACCACTGGTTGCTTCGTTCTTGATTTTATATGTATTTGTTACTTTTACATTAGAAAGCTAGAATTATACTTTTTTTTTTTAGAGATTCCAATAAAAAGTTATAAAATATTTTTGCTTTTAAAACATTTAAAAATAGTGCTTTCTTCTTTTATTATGTATTATTTTCAAGTGTGTAATAATTTTTCATATAGTTTTGAGGTATTTCAAATAGCCGATCCTATTTTTTGAAAAATACAGAAAATAAACTAACGAAAAAAAATACGTAACGATAAACTTGAGCATTTCGTCATTTCCGATATTTTGTGATGGGTTGATTATCGGCAAATCTTTCACTTTAAACATGGGGTATCGTTACATTTTACTAGTAACACATAGTAATTTACATATGGTGACAGTTCTGGCGATCACTAATCAGCCTGTGTAACCTATGAGTTGTCCCCCGTATATTTATCTAACCCCTAGGTAGTGTTACGACATATTGTTCAAAATTTCCAATTCCAAGTACTTGGCATACCGGCCAAGGTTTTATTGTATAATGATTGGCAACTATTCAATAAAGAGAGAAAAAATAAAAAATTTAAATTAATTGTGCACATTCTTTGACGGTCCGTAAAATCCGCTTTTAATTCACTGGATTTGGGATACAAAAAAAAAAAAAATACGGCCGACGTAATATTATAATAATGGATTAGCGTATCGAAATTAATTTTTTCTATTTTCCATAAATAAAAAAAATGTTTAATTGTTTTACGCCCACATATGGATATATATGTATATAAATTCTATAAACAACTTTTCCATTTGTTCGTAAACTCCGGCAGATCGTAATTTCTGTATTTGGAAGTTGTTGAATTAATTCACGTATTTGCTGCGACAATTTGTTGCATGGCTATCTTACTAATTATGGTAAATTATTTTTAGTACTCATTTAATAATGGTCAATGCAAATACATAAAGCGTTTTGATAATAAGATATATTTTATAATAAGATAAAAAATTATAAATAAAGCGATCTCAATCATTTTGAATTTTGTCTTTCAAAAAAAAAAAGCTTCTTAAATATCTTAAATATCTTTAAAATACTTAAATATCAATATCTTAAATATTCATCCGTTATTTTTTCTTTTTATTGAAAAAAAAAAAAAATAATGTATCAATCGGTTATTTTAGGATCTCTTCTATTGGCAACGCTTTACGTTTTAAAACGTATGCGTGATCCAAAATTGGTATGATACAAGATTCTAAGTCTTTAAAGACCTATCAAGAATTTCGTTGTTTCTTTACTTAATTACTTATCTTTATTTATTTTTTTTTTTAGAATATGCCTCCGCTCGTTCGTTATAAGTTTCCAATTATTGGACATACCTACATTTATTTGACTAATAGCGAAGAATTTCTTAAACAATGTAAAAAGGAGGTTTGTAGTTTTTGTAGACTTATGAATTTTTACACTCAATTAACGTTAAATGTTTATTAACTTTTTTAAATTATCATGTTAGTACGGTGAAATCTTCAGTCTATATTTATGGGGTGAAGTAAAAACAATTGTTGGTAAGTTACCCATTTTATATTATTAATAAAAATATTTTTATGTTTGTATTAATAAATTTTTTTTAATATGGTTCTATAGGAAAAGAACATCTGCAAGAAGTATTAAAGAGAGATGATTCATTTGATGCCGGAATAGCATTTGAAAGATTATTGCCATTAAGTGTAATACTTAAACATTTAGCAAAATTTCAAAATTCGACAAAAGTACTTAAAGAGTATGTCATGAATAAGCTAAAAACTTATACTGAACGTATGCAAAAAAATCTTAATTTTGCTACTCAAAAATATATTGGTGATTGTGATGAACCAAAAATTATTAGTAATGTGTATGATACAATGACAAAAATTATTTGTTATCCTATTGCAGATATTTTTGTTGGTAAAGTAAGTATATTTGTTATACATACAGACCTAACATAATTTGCATTATATATTTATATATATATATTTTTTAATAGGAGTTGTCACAATATGAAGAAATTATAAATACATTCTCAGATTTTACGATTGATGCAGCAAAAATTTCGATGATTCCGCCGGTTCTTGACTTCATTTATCCAAGACTTCAATATTATATCAATTGTATTATATTAAAAATCTATAATCCAGCAGTTAAACATCAAAGGATACTTATTAAACATCTTAAAAATCAAATTTATAAACGTTTACAAGAGAAAGAAAAATATGGAGATTCCTGGAAACGTCCTGCAGATTTCCTTCAAGATCTTTTAGAAGAAGAAAGTTTTGATCCAAATAATATTAATTATGCAGAAATAGCAGATAAAATATGTTTATTTATATTCGTATCGATTCATACGACATCAAATAGTTGTACACATGTTATTATGGATTTAGCATCTCGACCTGAATATATACAAGAATTATACAAAGAACAATTGGAAGTTCGTAAAGAAGCTGATGAAAATGGAATACTTCCATTTGAAGCTCTTAATAACATGAAAAAATTAGATAGTTTTATCAGGGAATCTTTAAGATTATCTGAAAGTATATCAACACTTCCACATGTCGTAACAAAAGATTATACATTCGCTAATGGATTACAAGTACCAAAAGACCGTGCAGTCCATCTTTACACTGATGATGTTTATCTGGATGAATCATTACAAGGACCAAATCCAAAATCATTTGAACCATTCCGACATTTAGAAACGAATGCTTCAGCAACAAAAATTGGTAAAAACTTTTTGTTATTCGGAGGCGGTAAACACGCGTAAGTATATTATTCTATTTAGCGTTTTTCAAAAAAATTTTTTTTGTTTTTTTTTGCATTATGAAAATAACAAATTATCGTTAAATTATTTAGATGTCCTGGAAGACAACTTGCTATAAACGAAGTTAAATTTTTCTTACATAATGTTATATTAAAATATAATTTACGTACCGAAAGCGGTAAAATCGAAGGACCAAAGATGATTGGTCCAAGGAAATTTCCAAGTGAAGCTGGAATTGTTTTTGAAAAAAGAAAATAATTGTGAAAATATGCTTTTAAATTATTATACTTCAAAATAATGGGTTTTTTTTTCATTTCCATTTTGTTTATTTATTCATTTTTTTTTTTCACTATAATCTAATAAAAAAAAATTAGAATAGAAAAATCCAATGTTTATTTTTAAATAAATCAATTATTAAATCACTATTTATTTATGAAGAATGTGACATTTCACCCTATTTCAAGAGTGATAATCAAAGTCTATTACGATAAAAGAATATTGTACCGAAGTACAATACACCCATTTTTATAAAATTATTACGTAAATAATTTCGTTCGTTCATTTAAAGCACGTGACCAGATACCACGCAGGTTATTGTGTCGATAAATGATCAAGTTCCGAATATGGGTTGTCCTCAGACCACCATTTGGTGAACCCAGATACCGCAGGTGGACTATTACGTGGCTAAGTTGCGTCACTAGTTCGTTAGAATTAAAGGTGTTAAATAATTTAGTAGTAGTTGTAGGTGTAGGTCGGGTGTATTATCATTACTGCAAATGAAATTTGGCGTACTATAATCTGGGTATTTTTTTGTATTACCTGGTAATCTAAAATTTTTTATATCTTAGTTGTAGTATACTGTAGATGTGTTGTAGAAGAAAACCTAAAATTGTTTTTGCGACAGTATTACGTTGGGTATTAAATATTTACGAACTCCTACATAAAAGCCACTATATAAAAGAAAATATGCGCACTAGCTGGTCCGTATTAGATCTTGGAGGAACACCCGTTATAGCTTTTATGACACCACTTTATACTAAAAGATCTTACTCACTTTTTCCATTCATATATCTCAAAGAACCACAATCCGTCAACTTCTACCGTTCCTGTCAAACGACATTTACCAACGAACATGGAAAAACCATAACGAACATTTCAAACGATGGAAACGTCGAAATGATATTATAAAAAAAGATTTCACATCGTACAACAGCAAATCCACCACGCATCGATCAACTACTTCTGGAATATTTCTTGCCTGATCATTCGCCACCGAATCCAGTAAACATCTACAATTTTAGATAAGATGGACGTCTAACGATCTTTTACATAATGGTTCTTGGTTACAACATTTAATTATAGCTTCTTTCCCTTAGTTTACTATTCGTTTATAGATTTACAACAACGACATCACTCTCTGATTATAATTGTCCCTTTTTCATTTTCCTCATTTAGATAATAAGAATAGATCATTACATGTAGACAACATGTATATAACGTTTTTTACTTGAGAAATGGAGTGTTTCCTATAAGTAAAAAGATAATAAAACATTTAAGTTAATTACTTTGAGGCTAAAATTGACCGTTAACTAATTAACTACCAATTTCAATCTGAATCATATAATTGATAATGATATTATGGAACTTTATTTAATTATACCTCTTTTTTTTTTTACAAGAAACTATATATACCAATATTACCTATATTCAAAAAAATTTTAATCTAAAAAGTAATAACTTGATTCAATTTCAAATCGTTTAATAATTCCTTCATTTTTATATTTTTTTAATATTTTTGAATCAAAAAAATCATCATAATTAGAATTAATTAAAGTAAGTGAAGGTCTACCTTTCCAATTTTTTAAAAAATTTTCAAAATTATTTGAAGAAATTTTCCAATAATTTAAAAATTTTATATAATTTAAAAATTTTGAAGTTGAATCATCAATTAATAATTCTGATAAAATCCCTCCATCATCAAATTTTTCTTCTAAAGATTTTTCTTCAAATTCATCATTATTATTTAATATACTAAAATATAATTCTTTTAAATTTTGACAAATTTTTAATAATTTTTTAAATTCCATAAAATTATAATTATGTATAACTATTGATAAATTTTCAATTTTTGGACAATTTTTATATATTGAACGAATTAATCTTTTTGAATCTTTACAATAATGATATTTTTCAATTAAAAGTTTTTTAAGATTTCCACCAGTTTTTTCAATTATTTCTGCTACAATATCAGGAGATATATTTTCTATATGTAAAATTCGAAGATTAGGATATGAAGAAATTTTTAATTGATCTTCATATTTTTTATCAAGATGAGGTATAAGAAATTGTAATTTTTGTAAATTACAAAGTTTTGGAAGTATTGTAGGTGGAAATGAAATATTACCACAAAAGAATGCTTTAAAATGTATTAAAGAATCAGAATTTCCTATTAATGCTTTACCAACATCACCAAAAGGATCATAATCTTCTTCACCTCCAACGAATAAATTACCATTAAATTCAATATATTTTAAATTCTTTTGAACTTGAATTAATTTTGCCAAACCATAATTATCCTTCTTACATTGATCGATAATTAACTTTTCTATATATTGACAATGTTGAGCCAATCTATCATAAAATAAAGGTTGATCAAACGTTGTACATTTCAATTCTGTAAGTCTTGAAAGACAAGATTCAGCGCCGTTAAAATAATCTAAATGATGTTTTATATATCTTACATCCATAGATTTTAAAAGTGAACATTTTCTCATCAAAAGTTTATAAACTTCTTGTTCAACAATATATTTTTTATAATCTGATAAATGAATAATAGAATTAATTTTAACAACATTTAAATGTCTACAAAAAGTTAAATAATCGAATAAAGGAGGATTTTGTGATTTTGATGAAGGAATTTCAATTCCTTCAAGTTTAAGAAATTCTTTAGATTCATCAGGTAAAAATAATATTATAGTATTATATAAAAATTTTTCTTGATAAAATCCTAAATAATAACGCCAAGGATTTTTCCATAAAAATATAACAGCTGTTTCACACCAAAGTTTATCAACTAATAAACATGAAAATAAAGATCTTTGATCATCTTCTAATTCTTCAAATATTATTAAAAGAATATCTTTAAGTTTTGACATTATTTTGATAAAAAAAAAAAAAGGAGAGAATTTACGAAAGTGTTTATTAATGAAAAAAAAAAAGTTGAAAATCAAATGAATTTTGTCTATATAAGGTAAACTGTACATACACATGACAAAAAATGGTTGGTTCACAATGTCAATCATCTTGATTGTTTCTTCAAGCCATAATTTTTTGTTTAACATTGCACGAATTATTAAAAATGTTTTAAAAAAAGAAACATGAACTACATGGCGCAGATTTTGATTATTAAAGATATTTCAAAGAAATCGAAAGTAATTTAAAAGAAATTCAAACATAAAGCGTTATTATACGCAGATATAAGCTAATTTAAATTTTAAAGTTTTTAACCTGATAGACTATGCTAATTCTTCATATTTTTTTTACATAGATACATATTTCAAATTATCCTTTTTTTGTCTCTTTATTGGCTAAGTTTGTGTAACTCGTAAGTTTAAGAATTTTAACGTAAAGATTCCTTTTATGGATTTCCTCGCGGCTTGTCATTACGTTTGTGGCTGCGTCATCCTACTAAATATGATTGGCATTGCACAGGCTGATCACGTTAGTGCGACATGCTTATTGTTGAATATCGTACAATACAGGTCATCAACAGATGATTGGCAAGGTAGATCTATCGTAGAATGTTTATAGAAGATATACTTAATAAATATTATGATAGAAAACACATGCTTAAATTAAGTTAAATCATATTCATATTATATATCCAATGAAACATTTGATACTATAGTCTTTCAAATAGGTATTGTAAAAATTATGGTGAAAAATATTCAGCTATGTGGCCACGCACTGAACTATCGTTTTCCGTTCGTCAGAACACTACCATATGCAATGATGCCCGTTATGTGTGTAATGAGTAATTTTTGATTCGAATTTTAGTACATAATTTTTCTATATAAAGGTTCCTCCTTAGTAAATACGGTATGTATACATTAACATCGGCCATATCTTTATACTTGGAATGTCCTTTTTCATAGTAAACACATTAATATTACTAGAGAAACGTGAAGTCTGTGCAAATCCAGGATGTTATGGATTGTTTTTTAAGGATTGCTTATACAAGGAGCTTTATACGTAAAATTTCAATAAGGTCAATTTTAAATTATAATCTAAATTATGTTTTTTCCTCCTTTAGAAAAAATCAATGTTATTGATGCATCTGATTACAAAGCACTTGGTGATGCCCTTGCTATAGTATGCTTGCACCGGATATATGGTAAGGTTATTAATTCAGAACTTATAGAAAGTGAACTTACAAATACACGGTAATGAGTGAGGAAAATGTTCATATTTTTTTTAAAAGTTTTTCTTCTCAAACATAATTTATCCATACAAGTATTCTGCAAACTCCGCGATTTTTCAGAGTAATGCCTAATGCGTTAAAGAAATATGTTGTCATGGATATACGAAAACTTCACTTGGAGATTTAAATAATTTGCTAGATAGACTTCCTGGTCTTTTGCGGATATATTACCTGATGAATTTATTGTAGAATGGGTGGTTAAACAGGCACTTGAGCGAACTGGCAATGTTTCCATTACAAATGAATCGATAAATTCGTCAACAAATATTGTAGAAATTAGCGATGTGTTTTTTCTTTATAATGTTGTTAATTGTTAGGGATCTTTCTAAATTGTACTGTATATATATTTTTTATTAATATTGAATTACATTAAAGTTGCTCTTTACATTTTACAACTTTTTTTTTTCAAAAGTTAAGCTTGTTTCATCAATATCAAGACTTATATATATCAAAGCACCTTGATCGTTGGCAAAAAAAAGATCGTTCTAATTAAACAACCTTATTTATTAGTTAATCTAACTGACATTCACAAAGTTGTGCGCCATGAAAATTACATATACTCTAAAATTTCATGTAGAGAAATATACAAAAAATTTGTATTTTTAATGTAAATTCTTGGGTTATGATGATCTTATTGAGGTATGACTAAATATCACTACGTCGATCTCTAGGCGCAGCTTTAATTCGTCGTTCTATTTGCTAGAAAAATAGCTTCTTTGGATTAGTGTCTTCTGAAGATTATTTTCAACAATCTAACATTATTTGGTAAGTGATATTATGCTGACGGGTATGCCAGAGATTTTCTGAAATGTAACGTATGTATTTCATAATTCTATAGCAAATTTATTGTAAGTTCCAAACAGTAGTCATACAATGACGCAGAATCCGATAAAATCTTGTATTGAACTAATTTAACTGACCCTGGTAAAGTTCCCATTATCATAAAGCCCATAATTTAAACTTACAAAATTTCTTTTTCTTCTTTGTTCATAGAACAATACATTAATAATAATTTCTTTCCATAATAATTCTAAAACTAAATGCGAAATCAAACATAATGACATGTATGTAGTTATTTAGTTATTTTGCATTGATTTAATAAATTGTGAATTCATTCTAAAAAATATTTTAATTTCCATTTGATATATGAGCCATGTGAGAATTCTTGAATTTCAACGTCATAAAAATTTTGGGTTTCTGCTAAAAAAAAAATACAACAGCATATTATTTAATCATAATATGAGATTTTGAATATTTTTGTATAGAAACATATATTTGGTTTACTGCATGAGCTAATTGGGTTATGATTCTCATTATTTGATTTGGTAGATCGTTCGAATTACAATATTTGTACGTCAAGATCACGTAGTAAATTAAGTTCGCACTGTGATATGTATTTTGATTATCGATCAATGTTTCCTAATAATAATATGTTACCATATTTCAAAAAAAAAAAAAAGAGTAAAATTAACCGAATACATGAAATACGTATAATTTTTTTTTTTAAGGCTCAATAATTATTCCGTAAAGTTATTTATTATGATGAAAGAAGGTAAGAATTTTTTTAATAAAAAAAAATAAAAAAAAAAATAAGAATCTATAAAAATCTATTATACCTTTTTAAAGGAAACTTCTTATGAGAAATACATTACCATTATATTGTGAAACAAATATACCAATCAAACAATAAGAAATAGATACAATAAAACACAACGATGTATTGGATGCTGATATTCCAATTGAAATGATTTCATGGATTTATCATGGATTTTCCATTAAATTTTACATTACGGAAAAACCGCGATAAAAAAAAAAAAAAAAAATTTTTTTTTTATATCACCGGAATATATCCAATATACCGGCAAAAAATGATTTTGTACAACCTTTGAATATCATTTTTTTTATGCATAACTCTTGTAATACAATAAAACATAACTTTAAATACATAGATCATAACCTTAACAAGTATAATATTTGCAAATATTGGAAATACGTGTAATTCTTTAAAAATCTTCAGCCATTTAAAAATAAATGGAACAAATGTATGGATACTTTTTTTGTAATTTAGCTATTCAAAATATAAGTGAGGGTTTTTATCGTTGGTTTGGAAAAAAAAAAGAAAAAAAATTTTTAATGAATCTATCGGATTAATTTAAAAAAATTATAACAAAAAAATTATTTTAACAGATTTTTAAAACCATTATGTACAGACATTTAAAACCAGAAAAAATTTATAAACCGCATGATTATGTTCCTTTACCACCACCGAATTTTGATATATTTCATTATAGAAGAGGTCGTAAATATATTTCCGGAGTAAATCATTTATTACCTGTTGACGATAGTGAATTTGATAGAATACAACATCAACATAATATTTATTATCATGTTTGGAAGAATCATTTTTCTTCTCCTATACGTGAATTATTAAAGACGGAAGGTACAAAAGTACTTGATGTTGGGTAAGAATATTATATTAAATTTAATTTGTAAAAAATAATTTGCAAATTTTTTAATAATCCTTTTGTATCAAATAGTTGCGGTCCTGCAATGTGGACATTAGAAATGGCGTCACTATATCCAAAATCTAAATTTACAGGCATAGACGTTGCACCTATATATCCTGTTGAAATAAAACCCCTCAATGTCGAATTTCTTCAAGTAAATATAGTTAAACATGGTTTACCTTATGATGATAATACATTTGATTACGTATTTTCCAGATTTAAGGGGTTTTCTTATACTATTAAAGATTGGAAATTTGTTATTAGCGAAATATGTAGAGTATGTAAAATTGGTGGTTATATTGAATTTATGGAAAAAGATGTTAAATTTGATATTAAAAATGATTTTACGAAGAAAGAATTATCTCGGTGTAAGTATTCTCATAAATAATTTTACGTACGTTTATAAAATATTATAATGTTATAATGTTTAACTCACTTTTAATTTTTACAGTTGTAAGAAATTTACGGAGAAAAAGTATTGAACCAATAATTTCACCAAAAATTGAACAATATATCCGGGAAACAAATAATTTTCCGGTCATACATCATGAAAAAAGAGATGTTCCGACAGGAGAATGGGGTGATAATGAGTATGATACGTATAAAATAGGTAAAAGTAATAATGAAATTATAAGATGGGGTGCGGAAAATATAAAAAATATAATGATAGAAGAATGTGATTACGATGAAAAGGAATGGGATTTAACCGTTGATGAATTTATGAGAGAACTTGATGAACATCATATTTATGATAATATTCATAGAATTTTTGCTAAAAAAGAAACAGAAAGTAAGGAAGAAGTTTGTAAGCGTAAATTTAATTTCTCTTTACTACGATCTTTATTTTCTTGTTTCAAAAAACCAAAAAAATTCATCAAAAAATATAATTAAGGACAATTATTATAACTTATATTTAATGATGAAAATGTTAAATACCAAAAATAAAAATTTATATGAACATTTTTTGTTTTTTTACTGTGCCACAACTAATTATATATGTATGCGTTTTGAATTCTTTTAACGTTTTTGACTTGTTTGACTTGGGGATATGTTAATTTTGAACGTCATTAAACCTGTTCATTTTTTCGACAGGTCGCATTTTTTGATCGGTTGAAACTTAAATTGATTGGCTACTACATTAAATTGGAATAACAACATTATTTTGGTTTTTAGGCTGCTACCAATAATTACAGTATTAACGAAAAAGCTCAACAACTGGATATGAAACAAGCCTATTAACGCACCTGATTAGGTTTTTGTATAAGATTAAGTTTGATCTGATCTACAGTAGATGATGATTATGTCGTAATGTTGAATTGTTTTGATTTGCTGATTTATGAATTTAAGTTTTGATTTCTAATCTTCGGCTTTGAAAGGTCATTTCATTTCATCTCCGTATTTTTTTAAAGTTTCGTGAATTTATTATATGATCGACAAAATTTAAGACGGATAATTCCCGATAGTTTGATCACATACTTTACAGGACGAACTTAAAAAAGAATCAGCCTTGAAAGCTTGAAGTAAAAAAAAAAATATTTTTTTTTTTTTATATCTTTAATGCCGAAAAAAAAGATAAATAACATATGATTGCATTGCATACACTAAAAGAATTAAATTAATTCTCTTTTACATTTAATTAAAATATTTCTAATTAAATTAAGTTGTTTATTCATTCACGATAGATTTTTTTTTTAATTTGGGCGTAAAATAATAATAGTAATAACGAAACCAATATTCTATTATAATTTTTTTGTACTTTACAAGAAAAGAACCAAATTTCCTAAAAGAGACATTTATTGTCCATAACGATTTTTTTGCAGTTTAATATGCCCTTATGAATGATTATTGTTTAGATGGTCAGATGATCCTGGTGTTCTAGATTATGTCTCATGATATGCTGATAATTCCTTAATTTAGTTAATGCTCGGATTAAAGTTCGGGCCGTGGATCCCAATCACAATCCAAAATTACTTAAAATTGTCTAATATCAACTTGTTACACGATCGCACAAAAGTTTGTATTTTCGACAAAAAAAAAAGGTGTGAACGTTTTCATCGTTATTTTTAATATTTAAAAAAAAATCAAAAAATGATGGAAAGTCATAAACTGTTAATCAATTTTGGTGTGGAATCATTGTTCGTAATTTTATAGAATTACCCAGGAAAATTTTATAGATTTTAGGGAATTAATGCTTTAAAACTTGATATATTTTAAAGATATCCTTTGATACAGAGGCGCAGAAATACTTGCAAATTATTCAGAGTACAAAAACATTTTCAGATAAAATGCAGTACCATTCTTAAACTGCGAGGTTCTTCGCAAAGATGGAAGTAGTTCTCGCATAGAATATACATCTACCGACAGATCATGCATTAAATAGGAAGCGTCAATATTCTATCCTAGCTGGGCGAGTTATATTAAGTAGGTAGTACTATTTACTTTTATTTACTTTATGTAATTGATTTCTAACTAGTATTTAGCGTATAATAAATGATCATTATCTTCATTGTTTTCATATTTTTAAAAATTTAATATTTATTTCTATTTAAAATTTATTTTTTCAATTAATTTTTTTTTCATTGCGTCCTACTTATTCTACTTATTAATAAAAAGGAAATATTGACTACGAACCTCCAATGGATATTTTTGTAATTTTAAATTAGGATTTATTCGTTATAAATTTCGCTATCGAATGGATATGTCATCATTAAACATCATCCGATCATCAAAAATTTTATACTTTTATGAAGGGTAGACTTTGTGATAGAAATTTACAGCTTTAATACCATAAAATCTAATTAATAAATCTTTTTAGGGAAATAACTAATAAATTTCCTTCCCTTTTTCAGCCCAGAACAAAAATTAATTTGATCTTGCATTTAAAGAAATTGAATGGGCGAATGGCATGAAATTCTTTCAGTACTATTTCCTTCAACATAAATATTCAAGGATTTAGTAGAAGGAAATTATGAAGTAAAATAGAAAATTTAAGAGAGCAAATTATTTAAAGAATAATAACGATATGGAAATTTAATAGAAAAAAATAATAATTCGTATTCAATATTCGAAATAATGACATTTTTTAACGTTCTTTTTGAAAGTCAAAGTCAAAATCAATTAAATGGCTTGGTACCGAAATGTTACATCCGTTAAAAAAATTAGCTTATCATAATTCATAATCTATCAAAGCCTCTCAAAGCCTACAAAAGCTTAAATTTATAGTGATTTTATTGATTATCATAATGAACATTACAAATAATTTTCTTTATTAATTTCTAAATATGTTTGTTATTTGTTAAACCGTTGTTTGTTTAATTTCCTTATATTAAAGGTCATACGTTATTTCAATGTAAATCATCTTAAGACGTAAAATGACGTCACGCTTCGCTATTATTTTCTTGAATATAATATAGGAAAAAAAAAGTGAAGAAATTTAATTTATAACGACGTTATCAATTATTTATGCAAAAAAATCAACGAGAAACTTTATATTTTAAGGACTTATGATTTATGAAATTTTATGAAATTATCCAAAGTATTTCGCGATCTCGAAAATTTTACGTATTTTTTTGCGTATAGATATCATTAAAAGATTATTTAATTTATCAGTCTTTGAAAAAAAAAAATGAAATGATAACTAAAAATAAATCATACTTCATTAAAAATATATATAAAAATAAATTAAAATGAATTAATTTATTATTTAATGAATTTCTTTTTTTAACTTCACATTTTCACGTTACGAACACAAAATTATTTTTAGATTCTCGTAACGTAAAAGATAAGGTCATTTGATTTTTTTTTTTTATGGAATTTTTTTTTACGGAAATAAAAAGAAACTCAATTATTGAAGGAGTTCATCGTTTACATTGTCAAAAAAGTCAAAACAAACTTTCAAAAATGTATCCGTTAATTTCTTATTTTATTATTTTAATGATACATAGAATTTTACATTTTAATTTATTTATTTATTTAAAGAATAAGTATGACAAAGTCATGGTTTCAGAAATTTCTAGACCCTAAATTTTTTAAATATACATTTATGTACATTGAATAAATATTGTAACATACAATGTGTTTCACACGTTTCACAATAGCAGTAATTTTTTGAAATGTGTTACTCCGGATCAGCCTATCTTCAATGTCTCAATGAAGTGATTCTTTTCTGTATTACAAATAAATTCCGTACATTCCATACATTACTCCTTAGAAAGTTTCCATATGCTGAATTATTCTATATATGGAAAATTTGCTTTGATGTCGATCATTTTTGAAAGAAAAAAATATCCAAACATTCTCATTCATTTTTCATTCAAATTGAATGCATAAAAACGTTGGCAGCTTTTTGAATCATTAGGATAATCTAATAAAAGAATAAGAAAAGTTATAAAAATGTCGGATTTTTTTTTTGTCGTTGGTTTAGGAAAAAAAAAACAATTCTTTTTTCTCAATATTTAAATTTTATAGACTTAATTTATATATTATAATTTAATTCATAATGTGTATTTCAAGGAAAAATATAATTTATAAACCACATGATTGCGTTCCATTACCACCACCAGATTTTAATTCATTTTATCATAAAGGAAATCGTAAATACATCAATCCATCCAGTGTAATTCCTGTTGACGATGATGAATTCGATAGAATACAACAACAACATATTATTTATTACAATGTTTGGAAGAATCATTTTTCTGCTCCCGTAAATGAATTATTAAAGACGGAAGGTACAAAAGTACTTGATGTTGGGTAAGAATATTTATATATTAAATTTAATTTTGTAAATAATTTGCAAATTTTTTAATAATCCTTTTGTATTAAATAGTTGCGGTCCTGCAATGTGGATATTAGAAATGGCGTCACTATATCCAAAATCTAGATTTACAGGCGTGGATATTGTACCAACATACCCTATTCACACGAAACCTTTAAATGTCGAATTTCTTCAAGCAAATATAATTAAAAATGGCTTACCTTATGAAGATAATACTTTTGATTACGTATTTTGTAGACTAGTGAATTTTTCATATACTATTAAAGATTGGAAGGTTGTTATTAACGAAATATGTAGAGTATGTAAAATTGGTGGTTATGTCGAATTTATGGAAAAAGATGTTAAATTTGATATTAAAAATGAATATACAAAGAAAGTATTTTCTCGGTGTAAGTATTCTCATAAATAATTTTATTAATTTTACGTTATAATATGGTATAATGTTAACCATTTTTTAATTCACTTTTTTTTTCAGTTATAAAGAATTTACAAAAAAGAAATATTGAACCAATAATTTCATTAAAGATAGAACAATATATAAAGGAAACAAATAATTTTCCAGTTATAAATCATGAAAAAAGAGATGTTCCGACAGGAGAATGGGGTGATAATGAGAATGATACATTTAAAATAGGTAAAAGTAATAATGGAATCATCAAATGGGGTGCGGAAAATATAAAAAATATAATGATAGAAGATGGTGATTATGATGAAAAGGAATGGAATCCAATCGTTAATAATTTTATGAAAGAACTTGATGAAAAACATATTTATGATAATATTCATAGAATTTTTGCTAAAAAAGAAACAGAAATTAAGGAAGTTTGTGAATGTAGAGAATGTAGACCTCCACAATCTTTACGTCAATTAGAGCATTTATCATCTACAGGACTTTTTTTCAAGTTTAAGTATCAAAGATTCAAAAAATTTATTAAAAACATTGCATAAATTTATTGAGGAGTAACTGATAATCAGTATAGAAAATATAATTATATTGTATGTATTATTATTTAGACATTAATATAATCCATTTATGTAATACTTTATTTTAAATGCTTATTAAATAATTTAATAAATATTGTTTCTTTCCATAATAATATAATATGATCCTTTTTCCGTTAATCTAAATTAATATCCTTTGCTATAATTCATTTAGAATATATAAAATGTCATCAATAAATCGAGATCACAAAAATTGCTGTTATAGCTTGGTAAAAATGTTTTTCGGAACCCATTTTAAGGGTCAAGATAATAAACAGGGTTATATTCTAGATAAGGAAAAATTCAGTTTTTTTCCATTAAGTTAATCATTGTCCGATGGTATCTTCAATTGTAACAATCTAAGACTAAGACTAAGAGTACACAATGTACAAAATAGATTGGCCATTAAATGCGTTAACTCGTGAAATTTTTAGATTATTCCAGATGGTCAAAACAGTGGATAGTCACTAGGTGAGAAGAACTTACGTTAGGTTTGTTGAAGAGTCTAATTTGTGCTCATTTCCGTTATGACACAAAAAATGAATATATTAGTATTTACCGTGGTGGGTATAATAAGAAAATTCATACATCATTTAAAATATCCGATAACAATGATTTAATAAAAGTGGCATGGTCTTCATATTACTGGACAAGTGTTGAATTGTTTGTCGAAAAGCTGCAACAAACTTTTTCACACTGGAGCTTTCGACATTCAACTGCTTCGGGATGCGTTCAAGCTTAATGTCTCTAACTGGAGCACTAGAAGAATTTCAAGGTCAAAGATGTGACGTATCTCAGTGTCAACAAAGCATAGACTATGTTGTATATGACTAATATAAGTTATTATGGCGGCAAGTTACTTTACCATACATCCCCACTGCGAGCGAAGCTACCCAACGAATGTTGCACTGAGTTGTCTACTGTTTCAATGGGAAATAAAAGTTGAATATGAAATAGTCGACTCGTTTGGCAGAGGTTCAGTCAATTGGGCTGCTGTCTTGATGAGCGATAAAATTATAGTAATTACTGAAGCGAAAAAAGACAATATTGAGCAGGATATATCGCAGAATACAGTTCAACTGCATTCTGCTATTCAACGTAATTCGAGATTATGAAATTCCAATGAACATATTTCCACCGAATTATATGAGATAGTAACTACTGCATTGGAATGGTTTATCATTAAAGTAATCGAAACCGACTGCATAGAGGAACCTATAGACGTTAAAATAAGTAATCTTACAACTAGAAATCTGCCGATTACAGATAAAAAACTTAGCAAAGACAAACTTCTAGAACCTGTTAAAGTTCTGTTCGGTCAAATTCTTTGGATCTTCAATGACCAATTCCAACAATAATATCTATGATAGTACAACAATAATGGACGAGCCGTATCAACAATGACATGTATATGATATATATATTTACATATATCTTACATATATCGGGTACCCGATTTTCTGCATTAATACTACACATATCGGATACATATCTGATACATATTTGCTACCCGATATATTGGTTTTTGACCAGTGCAGTGTGCTCGAGTGCCTTCATACGTGATTGATTGCAGGTGAAACAGGGGACATAGTAATTGATGACAGCGATCAGGAAAAGTATAATCCAATTATTTGGCAGTGTTTTTCCGAAATACTTGTACCATCCTTCGATTTTTCAGTCTTACGATATCACTACAACTTATGTTTTTAACACCCTTCAGGTAATTTAGTATAGTATAAGCTCAGATCAACACAAAAAAAATAAAGTCAGAAGTTATTTAATAAGGCGATAGACATACATCGTCTTAGTATTAAGGCAAAGTAATCTACGACCCAATTATCTGAGAATTTGCGAGTTAATGATACAAGTTATGAAGAATGTCAGAATTTTTTTATTGAAAAAAGTAAGCAACATCTTTCATCAGAACTAACATTGTATATTTTTTAGTAGTACAAATTACCAGTTCCCTTTCATGACAGAAAATAAACCGTGAAATTAATCTTCAAAAAAAGTTGATTACAAAGAGAGGCCTCCAACAAGAAAGTACCACGCAAATAGACCAGTAAGTATATATTGAATTATCTGAAAGAAATTCTGGTGGAATTGCTGGCAATAAGTTATCTGAATAAAAGACGTATAAAGAAATTATTTACTTTTACTTACATGTGCGATTCTTTGGACCGTTCTTTTGAACTATGGTTTACTGACACCATCGTTATCACTTCAGAAAGCTCCAACCAATCTCTTTCTCTTCGTTACCATCATCATTACATCATCATTATGTTGTTACATGATTCGTAGTCAAGTTGCTACTATTAGATAAACGAAAATGCAACAGTACATTACGAATTAATGTGTCACATTGCCAAGCAAGGCATTTCACGAATACCCTAAACATATATTTTTTGTAACATTAATCAGAGAGATGTTATTGTGTTATCCACTCAAAAAAATGACTGAATCGGAATGAAGGTCTTAAAAAAAAATTAAGAATGACATCTTGCAACAAACACATACCACCATAATTTCCTAAATAAAATAACTTCAAAGTATTTATGAAAATCAAACGTTCTTTGAGTAGTGATACCAAAGGGAAACAATTTAACCAAAGTCTGTTATTGCATTATCAAGAGACGTGATCGAGATTATCATTTCACCTGAGAAAAATGTGGCATAGCCGAAGACCAGAAAAACTTCAGCAGGTGTGACCGCTGAAAGAAAATATGGCACAGGATACCAAGTCCCGACTGCTTCGCATGGAGCAGTGATTTCGTTTGTAAAACTTTAGTATGCATCAAACTTTTCTTTGCGATTGCAAAACATGCGGTTACATTATTTTTTTTGATTTGTTCTTATTTAATAATGTGTTGGTTATATTTTTTTGGAGCCTTTTCAGTTTTCATTATCACAATGATTTTCATATCTATACTATCTCTTCATGTTTGAACCTACACACGTTGATTCAATGGACAAGTAATACGAGTTAGTAAACATGCAGATAAATGAGACATACTAGTGGCTATTCTCGGCGTACAACATTTTATCGAACAATATGGCCAAATTTGTTATTCACAATAATCTGCATAATCTATCATTTATCAGGATGTTTTATTTTGAGTATACTACAGTAAATCACAATGAGTCAGCTAAATTGTAACTATAGGAATGTTACACTACCCAATTCAAAGTTGATTCAGATAAAAAGGATGGAAAATTTTTCATTATGATGTCCACTTTCAGGCAATTTGTAACTATTGTAATTTGAACTCATCACTTTTTGTAGAATCCAAAATATATACAATATAAACATAGTTGTCGACATAAAAAGGACTTCACATGAAAATAGTTTCTTCTGTATCAATAACCATCCCACTTGTCTTGACCATTAATAGTCTATCATGGTGTAGTGTGTAACAACTGTAACATATACACTATTGCGACTTGTATGCGGTGTCACATGGAGTAATACAACCAAAAAAGTATAGTATGTCACGTGAAATAATCTCCCACGAAGAAAGGAATCACTCATGAAGAAAGAAACCAACTATGAAGAAAGAAACCAACTCACGAAGAAAGAAACCAACTCATGAAGAAAGAAATCAACCCACAAAGAAAGAAACCAACCCACAAAGAAAGAAAGAAAGAAATCAACCCATAAAGAAAGGAATCAACCCACAAAGAAAGAAATCAACTCACAAAGAAAGAAATCAACCCATGAAGAAAAAAACAACTCACGAAAAGGAAATAACTTACAAAAGAACTGATTTATAAAAAGAAAAAAAAGTCTTAAACTGATTTATTACAAAAAAAATGAAACTAGTATCTACAAAAGCAAAAAAAATCTAGAATCAATCTACAAAAAAAAGAAACTGAACTATCCTAATTTTTTTAAAGTAATAAAGGGAATAAAAAAACTAAAATTTATATAAAAGTAAAATAGCAAGAAATAAAGAAATAAAATCAATTTTTTTTTTAAAAAAAAAGGAGGGTGATGAAGTTAGGAAAATGAAAAAGCTATTTTATCTTATGATAAAGGTTAAAGGGGGCAACTAAGTCAAAAAAAAAACATTTTTTATATGAACAAAGAAATTATTTTTTTTAAAAAAAGTAGCAAGTAGGAATAAAAGAATAAAATCATGAAGATAAATAAAATGATAAATAAGAGAAAAAAATAAAATTTTTTGTAGTATTTTATCAATTGAATGTTTTAGAATCCATTCATATCCTTCATTGTCATTCTTTAAATTCTGATTTTGTTCAACAAATTATTAAGATTATTAAACCTTTTAAATTGAGATCTCTGTTTATGGATGAAATATTACATGTAGTATCATTACAACTATTACAAAAATGTGGTGATTATTTAGAAAATTGAATATTGATAATTTTAATGTTTATCTGTTAATTGAAAATATTGGACAAACTATTAATTATATTACTAATGGTTTGAATGATTTTGATCCTAATTGTCAATATTTAAGTAAAATCATATTACAAAATTTAGGACAAGTTCTTCCTTCTAAATTAAAATATTTACATTTAGATCTTTTATTTAGTACAGATGATTTTAAAATGTTCTTGATAGATTTTCAAAATACCTTGTTAAGAAATTTCTGATTAGTGATGTGACGTATGATTTATACCATGAAGGTATCTTATTTTATACAAAGGAATATATTATGAAGAAGAAAAGGGTTAAATATTTGGCTATTACATTCAATAATTATTATGAATTGGTATTAATTTGAAATATGAAGCAATGGAACTTGGATTATATAATATTATTGTTAAAAAATATTTTGATTTATATATTAATATTGATAATATTATTTACAATATTAATCAATAAAACACCATTGTTTGATGTTACTCAATTTAATAATGTATATTTTAATTTATTAACAATTTATAAATGTAAAAATAGTGACAAAGACTTCAAAGTGCTAATCAATCCTAACAATTATCTA